GGGTGCCTGGGACACGGGCTGACTCCCTGGGTGGTGGCAGTGAGTGGTCGAGCGTCCTCTGTCCGTCAGGGGCCCCCAGCGCCAGGAGGCGACACTGGATGCAGTGGCCATCTCCTCCTGCCACCAGGCCAGGGGGAACCCAGGGCGCCTCCCGGGTCAGCAGAGCCAGCTCTCCACCAGGCTGACCCACCTGACATCCCCAGGCTAAGGAAAAAAGGGCTGCCCCACCCCCATAGTCGGATGGCAAGTGTTGGGGTGCAGCCCCCGCCACTAGTGTCCCATGTTCTGCCTGAGCAGGCCTCTCTCTTACTCACTGCTCTTGGGCCTGAAGCGGAGCCAGCAGCTCAGTGAGGGCTTCATTCTGAGGTCCCTGGTGTGCACCACGGAAGCACAGCAGGACCACCCACCCACCTGCCCCAGCTCCCCAGTGGAAGTCCTGAGATGGCAGATTAAATACTCCGGGGTCCTGAATTCCACAGATGAACTGGGTCTCCCACGGCTATGGCCAAGGGGACGGCCCATTCCCTGGTGGCACCGTCTGAAATCAAGCTGCTTCTCTGGCCGCAGGGCCCAGCTCACTGCCCAGACACAGGAGCACATCGCCCTGCACACGACTGGGTGGGCACGACTGTGAGGGATGCCACCCCGTGCCTTGGGCCTCCTGCACGGGCTTGGGCCTCCCCACTCTGGGTGGACAGGCTACTTTGGCCCCTCAGCCTCTGGGGACTGCTGCCCTGTTTTCAGTGCAGTGTCAGGACCATCGGTCAGCCAGCTCCTCCAGCACCAAGACTCCCCTGTGTCCTCATTCTCCTGGGCCATTACGGTCGGCCAGGGCGCAGCCTTTGCTGGAAGGCCGTCCAGTCTGGGCTCTGGTCAGGCATCGATGTCCCCCAGGCACCTGGCCTCACCTTGCATTGGGACAGCCTCTGCAAGATGGAACAGGAAGGGTCTGGCTTTGCCTCTGTCACCTCCTCCTGGTCCATCGTGTCCTCCTGGCCAGCCCATTCCTGGTTCCTGCAGGGAGCCCAGCCCGAAGGGGACCTGAGAGATTCTAACTTAATTCTAGTTCAGCCTCCCGGATCCTCTTGTGGAGCAGCAGGATCCCATAAAAGCAGGAACTACCTGGCTCAGCAACTTGCTGGCCAAGCCTCCCCACAGCGGCCCACACAGGCCAGAGGTAAACATGCCCATGCCCCACAGCCAGAAGGCCTGGTGCAAGGAGGGGTGATTGTGGTGACTGAAATGGGAACTCTGGCTTGATGGCGCGGAGAGAAGACATGGACCGCAAGAGCTGCAGGTTGGGGACAACCGATGTACTCTTTGTCCCCTAGACATAGTGCCACAGCCTGAATCAAATAGCACCTGCTGCTGGCACTCTGACCTAGGGCTGGCTCAGTCACCTGTCCCCCTTGCTCTGAAATGGAGAGCGCATGTGACCACAGCCAGTCCTGGACAATCCTGCCATGCCAGAGCCACCAGCTGGAATACACGGACACAACCTCTTTTCCATCTGATTGGTACAAGGTATGTGCTTCTTCTAGCTCCAGAGCGCCTTGGGTGATGCCACCTATGGTGATCAAGGTGGGAACTACCCATGTGGCTTTGACTGAATCAAGCTTGTTGATTTTTTAAAATAGCTTTATTGATACAGACATCATGTTGTAAGACTTCTCCTGTTTAAAGTGTCCAATTCAATGGTGTTCAGTTTAGTTACAGAGTTGTACAACTGTCACCATCATCCACTTTAGAACTTTTTTTTTTTTTGAGATGGAGTCTTGTTCTGTTGCCCAGGCTGGAGTGCAGTGACACTACCTTGGCTCACTGTGACCTCTGCCTTCCAGGTTTAAGCAGTTCTCCTGCCTCAGCCTCCCAAGTAGCCGGGATTACAGGCGCGTGCCACTATGCCCAGCTAATTTTTGTATTTTTAGGAGAGACAGGGTTTCACCATGTTGGACCAGGCTGGTCTCGAACCCCTGACCTCAGGTGATCCACCCGCCTTGGCCTCCCAAAATGCTGGGATTACAGGCATGAACCACTGCACCCAGCCCCAAGCTTAGAACGTTTTCATCACCCTAAAAAGCAAATGGGGATACCCCTCAGCAGTCACCCCCACTGCCCCCTCCCTCCAGCCCCTAGTGACCACTCATCTAGTCTCTGTCTGCATGGATTTGCCTGTCCTGTACATTTCATAGAAATGGAATCATTCAATGCATGGCCTTTGTGTCTGGTTTTTTTCACTGAGCATAACATTTTCAAGGCTTGTCCATTTTTTTTTTTTTTTTTTTGAGACGGAGTCTCGCTCTGTCGCCCAGGGTGGAATGCAGTGGCCGGATCTCAGCTCACTGCAAGCTCCGCCTCCCGGGTTTACGCCATTCTCCTGGCTCAGCCTCCCGAGTAGCTGGGACTACAGGCGCCCGCCACCTCGCCCGGCTAGTTTTTTGTATTTTTTAGTAGAGACGGGGTTTCACCGGGTTAGCCAGGATGGTCTCCATCTGCTGACCTCGTGATCCGCCCATCTCGGCCTCCCAAAGTGCTGGGATTACAGGCTTGAGCCACCGCGCCCGGCCGGCTTGTCCATTTTTTAATGTGTATCGGCGCTTCTTTCTTTTTTACTCCCGAATACGGTCCATTGTATAGTCTCATTCATTCTAATGTATCCGTTGTTTGGATATATGACATTTTGTTTGTCCATTCATGAGTTGATGGACAACTGGCTTTTTCTCACTTTTTGGCTATTGTGAATAATGTTGCTATGAACATTCATGTCTAAGTTTTTGTGGACTTTTGTCTTCATTTCTCTGGGGCATACGCCTAAGAGTGGAGTTGCCGTTTGACCTTTTGAGGAAACAACAGACTGTTTTCCAAAGTGACTGCACCATTTTCCCTTCCCGCTGGCAGTGCACCAGCGTTCCGCTGCTCACATCCCCCACAACACTGTGACTGTTGGGCTTTTTATTGCAGCCACCACAGCAGGTGTGACGTCGTATCATTGAGGTGTCAGTTTGCATTCCCTAATGATTCATGATGCTAAGCTCATCTGACATTGATTATCTTCACTGGAGGAATGTCTGTTCAGTGCTCTCACTATCTTGGTAGTGTCCTTTCAGACATAAAATTTTTAAATTTTGGTGAAATCCAATTTACATATGTTCTCCCTTTGTTGCTTGTGCTTTTGTTGCTCAATTGCTTGATGGAGGATGGGAGCTGCCTGGCCTCCTGGGTCATTAGAAAGGAAACCTCTTGGTGGGCACGGTGGCCCACTCCTGTAATCCCAGCACGTGTGGGAGGCCGAGGCCGGTGGATCACTTGAGGTCAGGAGTTCGAGAATAGCCTGGTCAACATGGCAAAACTCCCGACTCTACTAAAAAACTACAAATATTAGCCGGGCATGATGGTAAGCACCTGTAGTCCCAACTACTCAGGAGGCTGAGGCAGGAGAATCACTTGAACCCGGGAGGCGCAAGCTACAATGAGCCGAGATCACACCGCTGCATTCCAGCCTGGGTGACAGCGAGACAAGAAAGGAAAGGAGAGGAGAAGAAGGAAGGAAGGAAATAAACCTCTTTTCTGTTTGAGCCATTTCATTTTGGGCCTGTCTGTCCCAGAGGTTTAACTACACTAATATAGAGCATCTTTTAGTAAAGGTTTGTTGTTGGTTTGTTTCTACTCACATGAGATGTCTTCATTTTACCCGCAGTCTTGAAATAAAATTTTGGTGCATGTTCATTTTTGGTTTGAATTGAATTATTTTCTTGAACATAGTGAGGCAGGAGAACAGGGTCTGGAGGCCAATTCACGCCGACTCCCTAGAACTAAATCGAATGGAACACTTCCCGCTGACAGGAACTGTCCTCTCCATTTACATAGGGCTACACCAAATAACCAATGGAAACCTCTGGAAGGTATTTACACCCCCAAAAAAATCTGTAATGGGGCTCTTGAGCCCCTATGCTCAGCCGCTTCCACACTGTGGAGTTACTTTCCTTTTCTTGTTCCTTTTTTGAGAAGAAGTCTCGCTCTATCGCCCCGTGCTGGAGTGCAGTGCTGCGATCTTGGCTCGCTGCAACCTCCACCTCCCGGATTCAAGCGATTCTCCTGCCTCAGCCTCCCGAATAGCTGAGACTACAAGTGTGCACCACCATGCCCGGCTAATTTTTGCATTTTTAGAAGAGAGGGGGGTTTCACCATGTTGGCCAGATTGGTCTCGAACTCCTGACCTCAGGTGATCTGCCTGCCTTGGCCTCCCAAAGTGCTGGGATTGTAAGCGTGAGCCACCGAGCCCGGTCATACATTTGTTTTCCATAAATCTCGCTTTATTTACTTCCTTCTTTCCTTGCATCTTGTCCACTTCTTTGTTCAAGACGTCAAGAACCTGCACACCCTCCACCGGTCACAATAGCAGTTTCGCTTTCCACTCCATTTTATGCAGGGTAGTTTTATCTCCACCCTGGCATTTGCAGAATCCGGGCAAGTACACGAAAGGATGCTCCACAATACTTGTCTAGATATAGACATATATAGAAAAGTTACATATATATAAAAGTTATAAACAAAATTTTAATGAATCAAAATTTTATTATTTAAATCTGTTGAAGTCCTGACTGTGTACATGAAAATAAAACTCTTCCTAACGTGGCGTTCAATGCCCACGCCGCTGCCACCGTGCCTGGCCCCGCGCCCGGGCGCGCTGTGTCTGCAGCTGCAGACTTAGATGCGGGCGCGCGGAAGGCGGTGCAGAGCCCGGCAGGCGCCGCCGTTGCCTCTGCATCCGCGCGGTGTCCCCGGGGCCCCGATGGCTGGGGCGCGGGCGAAGGCGGCGGGGCCTGGAGGGGGCTGGCCCCAGCCCAGCGCGGGGTCCCCGGGGCGCCCCTGGGACTTAGATCCGCGAGCGGCCGCGCGGGCCTGGGGGCGGGGCCTGGAGGGCGGTCCCGGCTCCCTCTGCGCGGGCTGATCTCGCGAGGGCCGCCTGATCTCGCGGCGTTTGCCTGTGGGCGGGGTGAGCCCTGAAAGGCCAGGCGAGGGGGCGGCTCCGCGGGGTCGGGAGAGTAGTCTAGAGCGCCATGGCCGCCCTGCGTGTCCTGCTGCCCCGGCTCCGCGGCCCGCTGAGGGCCCCGGTTCGCTGTCCTGCGTGGCGTCCCTTCGCCTCGGGTGAGTGCGCGGTGAGAGCGGGCGGCCCGAATCTCCTCCTGACTCCGACCTGCACGCCCCGACCAGATCCCAGACCGCACCCCTCCCGCCTGACCCCGCATCCCCCACCTGACCCCGACCCGCACCCCCTCCCGCATGACCCTGCACCCCTACCTGGCCCCGCACCCCATCTGACCCCTACCCGCACCCCACTCCGCCTGACCCCGCACCCCCATGGCCTGACTCCCCAGTCCCCTGCCTGACCCAGCACCCACCACCTGACCCCGACCCGCAGCCCTCTCCCACGTGACGCTGCACCCCTACCTGGCCCCGCACCCCCCACCAGACCCCGCAGCCCCGGCCTGACCCCGCACCCCTCTTCCGCCCGATCCCGCACCCCCGTGGCCTGACTCCGCAGTCCTCTGCCCGACCCCGCACCCACCACCTGACCCCGACCCGCAGCCCTCTCCCACGTGACCCTGCACCCCTACCTGGCCCCGCACCCCATCTGACCCCTACCCGCACCCCACTCCGCCTGACCCCGCACCCCCCCACCTGACCCCGCACCCCTGGCCTGACCCTGCACCCCTCTTCCGCCCGATCCCGCAGCCCCATGGCCTGACTCTGCAGTCCCCTGCCTGACCCAGCACCCACCACCTGACCCCAACCCGCAGCCCCTGCCTGGCCCAGGCCTGCAACACCCTACCCCCCTCGCCTAGTGCTGCACCCCCAACCTGGCCCACACCAACAGCCTGACCCAGGCTTAACAACCCCCCACCACCCGCCCCCCCAACCAACACCATCCACCTGACCCTGGCCCACACCCCATCCTCCCCCCCCACGCCTACCTCTGCAGGAGGCCACTCTCACCAGGCCGCGTCCTGCGGGAGGCCCAGGAGGCCTGGCCGCTGGCTCTTACTGCCCCAATGCCAAGACCTCTGGCCAACTGGGCGCAGGGTGAGGGTTGTGAAAATCCCAGGTGTTCCCTCGGCTCTAAGAGCAGGCATAGGTCCTGTGCAGCAGGCCAGCCGAAGAACAGGAGATGCAGGTACATTTTGTCCTGGGTGCCTCCTGACCAGGGCTGCCCCTCAGACGGTCCTAAGGAAAAAGCTGACACCTTCTCCCCAGCCACAGGGAGCTGCCCTCTTCCTCCCTCGGGGCTCACCGGGGGCCCCACTCATCAGTGGCCATCACCCCCTCTAGTATCTGAGGAATCTTGGGCCATGCCTTGGGCTGGGGAAGAACTCTTGCTTCCTCTTCCTCCCTCGCCCTGTGTTTCCAGTGGACGGCTGAGTTGTGTTGTTTTCATCCCCAAGCTCTCCTTGGCCGTCGGCTTCTGCACCCTCACAGCAGCCCTTTCCTGGATCTTGCATAGCTGCCAGACACTTCACCTGTGATCTTCCAGTTACCCCTAGAAACCCACAGGATAAGGTGGGGTACAGTGGCTCATGCCTGTAATCCCAGCACTTTGGGAGGCTGAGGCAGGTGGATCACCTGAGGTCAGGAATTCGAGGTCACGTTGGCCAACATAGTGCAACCTCGTATCTACTAAAAATACAAAAATTAGCCGGGTGTGGTGGTGTGTGTAGTCCCAGCTACTCGGGAGGCTGAGGCAGGAGAATCACCTGAACCCCCTGAACCCTAGAGGTGGAGGTTGCAGTGAGCCGAGATTGCACCACTGCACTCCTGGGCGATAGAGTGAGACTCGGTCTCAAAAAAAAAAAAGAAACCCACAGGACAGGGACTACGATCCCTGCTTTGCCACCAACAGAGCCAAGCATCCAACACGCAGGCTACCTTTGTCTTTTCAGGTTCACCTTCTCACCCTGAATGCCATTGTCCTTTGTCCCCTTCCCACCTTGCTGTCCACCCAGCAGGCACGGGTCCTGTGCAGCAGGCCAAGCCGAGATGCGCTTGCGTCTCCCGTTTTCGGGCTGGCCTGCTGCACCAGACCTGACCTGTGCCTGATCTTAATGCCGCAGGAACACCCACGATTTTCACAGCCCCCACCCAGTGTCCATTTGGCCAGAGGTCTTGGCAATGGGGAGGCACCAAGTGCAAGGAGCTGGCGCTCCATCCTGTTTGAGGCTTACACCCAGTCACCTGTTGGCATGTGTTGAAAGAAGGCGTTTCCTGGTTCCTTAGCAGAGTCCAGGGCTGTCTCCAGTGCGGTGTCCTGGAAAGAGCTGCCCAAGGCATATTAGGAGAAGGAGAGTGGCCGTGGGCTGCGTTCTGTGCTGGGGATTTTTCTTTTCTTTTTTTTTTTTTTTGAGACAGAGTCTCACTCTGTCGCTCAGGCTGGAGTGCAGTGGCACGATCTCAGCTCACTGCAAGCTCCACGTTCACGCCATTCTCCTGCCTCAGCCTCCTGAGTAGCTAGGACTACAGGTGCCCACCACAACCGACTAATTGTTTGTATTTTTAGTAGAGACAGTGTTTCACCGTGTTAACCAGGATGATCTCGATCTCCTGACCTCGTAATCTGCCCTCTTCAGCCTCCCAAAATGCTGGGATTACAGGCGTGAGCCACCGCGCCCGGCCTGGGGATTTTCTTTAGGACATGTTCAAACACATGTGAAAGCAGAGAGAAAGGTACCAAGGCTACCCATCTATCGCTGTGGCTGAGAGCTACACCTGGAGCCACTGAGGACTGGGCAGGGAGCCCTCAGAGGGCCTCTTGGGGTCACACTGTATCCACCGATGGGGCCACATCCCTTCCCCCACTCTCCCCAGTTTGATACCTGTGTGAATAGATACCCCTTTTTGCCTTCTTGCTCTAGGTGCTAACTTTGAGTACATCATCGCAGAAAAAAGAGGGAAGAATAACACCGTGGGGTTGATCCAACTGAACCGCCCCAAGGCCCTCAATGCACTTTGCGATGGCCTGATTGAGGAGCTCAACCAGGCACTGAAGACCTTCGAGGAGGACACGGCCGTGGGGGCCATTGTCCTCACCGGCGGGGATAAGGCCTTTGCAGGTGTGCGCAGCAGCGGAGGCCTTTGTGTCTGGGCAGATGTGGGAGGCACGTGTGGCCTTGGGAGAAGCCTCCAGACTGACTTGTACCCCTGTGATGGCGGAGGCACGCGCGTGGGGACTTCCTCACATATCCAGTGAAGACGGGCATGGGAACAGCTTGCATGAGCAGCTTTGTGTATGCTGGAGAACCGCATGTGCTCCCCCAGCAAAATAGCTTCTTCAAAGAGATTCAGGTCCTTGGCAGTCAGGCTTTACACAAAGCCTATCAAGGGCTTACGCCCTGATGAATATGCCGCGCCTCTGTGGGCGCCTCCCTCGCACCTGCCACCTGCCCCAGAACCCCTCTTCATGACCTCTGTTATAGCTGGCGTAACAGCATTCCTACAGCTGTCCACGTGGCCTGGTGTCACCCGTGCCTGGCAACCCCAGTGCCCGTGTCTGGTGTGCTCCGAAGCTCCCTGTTGGTCTGGGGGATACAGGACGGGTGGGCTCTCTGCTGCCTGGTAACTGGAACCTCCTTTCCACTCCTGCTAGCTGGAGCTGATATCAAGGAAATGCAGAACCTGAGTTTCCAGGACTGTTACTCCAACAAGTTCCTGAAGCACTGGGACCGCCTCACCCAGATCAAGAAGCCAGTCATCGCTGCTGTCAATGGCTATGCCGTGAGTATTGCTGCCGAGGGTCTCCTCTTGTGGCTGAAGGAACTGTGCTGTGCGTACACAGCACAACAGATTTTTATTTTGAAGAGGCCTTTAGTTCCCAGGCCAGCAGCCTCCTTTCCTGCCTCATGGTGCTAAAGAGCCAGGAACCGTGCAGAGAGGACACCTCCTGGCATCTGTTTTTTTCATGGCTGTTCACCTGACAGCTTCTCCCCAGCAAGCTTCTCTCCCAGGGCGGTGGAAGAGAGGTGCTGGCTTTGGCTACGTCTATAAACTGGCTTCTTTTGCTGCCCTTGAAAACTGTGTCCTGGGACTGTTTGAAGTGCTGAGGCTGATCTTGACTTACAGGGAAGCAGTGTGATCATTTCATGACGCTCCCTTCCGTGGAAGCCAGGGGTCTGCGGGTGGAGTTTTCTCGGCACAGCCACACCCCCCAGTCTCTGTGGCTGCGTCTCGGCCACAGCAACAGAGGTTTTTTTTTTTTGAAACAGAGTCTCGCTCTGTCGCCCGGGCTGGAGTGTGGTGGTGCGATCTCGGCTCGCTGCAAGCTCCGCCTCCTGGGTTCCCGCTGTTCTCCTGCCTCAGCCTCCCGAATAGCTGGGACTACAGGGGCCGCCACGTCACCTGGTTAATTTTTTGTACTTTTAGTGGAGACGGGGTTTCACCGTGTTAGCCAGGATGGCCTCGATCTCCTGACCTTGTGATCCGCCCGCCTTGGCCTCCCACAGTGCTGGGATTACAGGCGTGAGCCCCGCGCCCGGCACCCAGCAGCGGAGCTGAGTCGTCACAGCAGAGCCTGTAAGACCTTCATGGCCCTTTACGGAATGTTTGCCGGCCGCTGGTAAACAGCATCAGCCATCTGTAGTTAACTTATCACAACGATTATCTAGTTTGGTGCCACTATGCTAGTCTTTGTCGTACGCCTGACACTGTTTCTTTTCAATGGAAAATTTGAATAAGCAAGCAGAGTGATTTCTAACTGGGTTCCCCTCGTGAGACTCTCCTGATGCTGAATGTTTTACAGTTTGGCGGGGGCTGTGAGCTTGCCATGATGTGTGATATCATCTATGCCGGCGAGAAGGCCCAGTTTGCACAGCCAGAGATCTTACTAGGAACCATCCCAGGTAAAGGGTAACACTGTCTCTGATAGGCATAGATGCCTTAGGTAATTCCTCAAAATTGACCTGTGTCTCAGGGCCCACAGCTCGTATCTGACCAGAGGCCCTGGATAGACAGCCCCGTGTCTGGTCAGTGGTCTGTCTGTGGACAGCCACAGAGGCTGGAGTGGTTGTGACAGAGCTTGGCGCGGCCTCAGAGTCCCGGGACTGTGTCTGGCTCCTGTGACTGTGCCCGGGGTCGCACATCTGATGGTGTTGGGAGAGGCAAGTCGTGGGTAACACTGGCTTCTAACCATGGCAGTTCTTGCTTGCGATTCGTGTCCAGCGAGAGAACATGGTGACTCTGGGTGGCACTGGGAGCTCTGCCCACTGTCATCTCACTGGCCTGGAGGTCACGTAGCCTGAGTTCAGAGCAGGGAGTCAGACCCCCCACCATGCCCGTGGGAAGGGCCTGGGCTCTTGGCAAAGAGCAACACCCTCTACCCCCAGGGTCTTCCTGGTGGGCCTGGTAGAAGGGTGGGCACGGGCCGAGCAGCCAGGAGGGAGCTGAGACCCTGAGGGTGGGCCTGGTAGAAGGGTGGGCACTGAGGGGAGCAGCTGCACTCAGGGCGCTCTTCGCTGCCCTCTGAGTTTGACCAGGCAGATTCTGAGGCCTTGAGCTGCGAACTTGGTGCGTTTTTTCAGGTTCTGATCCCTAGAAGAGCTGCTGCTCTAAGGGACCAGTGCCTGGGGTCAGGGAGGCCTGTAAGCTTCTAAGATGTTGATCACAGAGGCTGGGGAGGGCCCCACGGAGCCACACACCTTGATCCAATGTCAGGGTGTTGGGGGAGTGTGGGGTCCAACCCTGCCGGGCTTAGCGGGTGTTCTCCCTGTGTGCGGAAACAAGTGATTGTAAGAAATAAAGACACAAGACAAAGAGATAAAGAGAAAACAGCTGGGCCCGGGGGACCACTACCACCAAGACATGGAGACCGGTAGTGGCCCTGAACGGCTGGGCACGCTGATATTTATTGCATACAAGAACAAGGAGGCAGGGTAAGGAGGGTGGATCTTCTAAGTGATTGACAAGGTGAAGCAAGTCACATGATCACAGGACAGGGGGCCCTTCCCTCTTAGGTAGCAGAAGTAGAGAGGGAGGGCAGCATACGTCAGCGTTTTCTTCTCTGCACTTATAAGAAAGATCAAAGACTTTAAGACTTCCACTATATCTTCTACCACTGTCCTCTACGAACTTCAAAGAGGAACCAGGAGTACGGGAGGAGCATGAAAGTGGACAAGGAGCGTGACCGTTGAAGCACAGCACCACAGGGAGGGGTTTAGGCCGCCAGATGACTGCGGGCAGGCCTGGATAATATCCAGCCTTCCACAAGAAGCTGCTGGAGCAGAGTGTTCCCCAACTCCTCCAAGGAAAGGAGACTCCCTTTCACGGTCTGCTAAGTAACGGGTGTCTTCTCAGACACTGGCGTTACCGCTTGACCAAGGAGCCCTCAAGCGGCCCTTATGCGGGCGTGACAGAAGGCTCACCTCTTGTCTTCTTCGTCACTTCTCACAGTGTCCCTTCAGCACCTGACCCTATGCCCACTGGTTATTCCTAGGTTATATAGTAACGGAACAAAGAGTAATATAAAAGCTAATGATTAATGTTTATAATAATGATTGATAGTTGTCCATGATCATCTCTATATCTAATTTGTATTATGACTATTCTTGTTCTATTTTCTTTATTACACTGAAACAGTTTGTGCCTTCAGTCTCTTCCCTCGGCACCTGGGTAATCTGCCCACAGGGGAGCACCAGATGTGGGACCTGAGCTTGAAAAGGGGCTGCTGCCCCTGATGTTGCCAGGCTCCTGTGCTGCTCGGCCTCTGACCCCTGGACCTTGTCTTGGGGCCTATCTTAAGCCCCTTGGAACTTGCTGGCTGCGCAGCTGCGATGTCCTCTTGGGTTCACTCACTGCGGTGCCAGCCATGACCAGCCCCTCCCCGCAGGTGCGGGTGGCACCCAGAGACTCACGCGTGCTGTTGGGAAGTCGCTGGCAATGGAGATGGTCCTCACCGGTGACCGGATCTCAGCCCAGGACGCCAAGCAAGCAGGTATGGGTTGGGGCTGCCCACGGAAGCCACATGGAAACCCGGGGCGGCATCCAGGTGTCCCCCTCGTGGGAGCCCCACAGAAACCCGGGGTGGCATCCAGGTGTCTCCACGGTGGTTACATGAGTTTTTGGGTCCTGAGGACCTGGGAGAAGACTGACTGCCTTTTGTTTTTACGTTTTGGAGTACTGTACGCACAGAAGTGGAGCCACGTGTAAGTATCTGGTGCAGAAGAACAGCCCAGCAATTACATCCCCAAAGTCCGGTGCAAGCAACGGGCGTCTCCGGGCCCTCACTGGCCAGTCCTCCCACTGCCCTGTTGGGGATCATGGTCCCCGGGTCTGGCTGCCTCTGCCGTCGGAGCTATGGACAGCCTGGCCTGCGTGTCTGAGAGCACAGGGACTGCGGTGCCAAGAGCGCTCAGCGCTCAGCACTCAGGAAGGGGCACGTGCGGCACTTACCGTGTGGAGCCACCCTTGCTAATGCTCAGAGGCTGGGATGCTCCAGCACGCTGCTCCCCAGCGGCCACTCCCTCGAAAAGGAATAGACAAGCGCCCTGTCTGCACTCACTCACCGACGTTCTTGTGTTTCAGGTCTCGTAAGCAAGATTTTTCCTGTTGAGACACTGGTGGAAGAAGCCATCCAGTGTGCAGAAAAAATTGCCAGCAATTCTAAAATTATAGTAGCCATGGCCAAAGAATCAGTGAATGCAGGTAGGGGATCCTGCCAGGAAGACAAGGTAGAGAGGTCTCCGGGGCTGTCAGGAGTATCCCTGAGGCGTCTCTGTGACTGTCAGGAGCCTTCCTGAGCGGCAGGCTTTCTGGCTCCGAATGGATATGCCTTAAGCCCTCCTGGGCAGAAATGGTTCTCAGTGTCTCAGTTCTGCGGTCTCTAGAGTTGTGGTTTCTGGTCACGCCCTCAGGAACTCCGCTGAGATATTCCCAGCTCCCCTTGTACCAGGGCCCAAGAACTGAGCCAGGCCTGGGAGGTGAGGGCAGTACAGAGCTGACCATGGCAGGGAAAGGCTGAGAAGGGAGCCGAGGTCCCAAAAGTAAAATGGTCTCGCCCACGGGGAGGCTCGGTTCACCTCCCGGGACCTGGGGTTGGCGGCCGCGTCTGCGCCTGGCAGGTGGCTACACAGGCTTGCAGGCCAACGCCACGCTGTTCATTCTTGGCCTGGATCCCCTTAGTCTCCCTCTGCCAGAGAAGTGGATCTGATCTTCCCCCTCCTCAGAAATGCTCAAGTTTTATTGTCACAATTTATTCTCGGCATGAGAATGAGATGGTGGGTAGCTGGCTGAGTCCGGACAGGTGTGGGTGGCCCCAGGCAGGTCCCCTAACCTCTCTGAGTGTGTTTACCTCGAGGGTGTGGCCGTCCGCCGGGCTTGCCGTTGGCTTGAGGCAGGATACAGTGAGGAGAGCATTTTGAAAAAAAGGGAGGCTGCTGTTGCCCAAGGTGTTTGGTGAGGTCGGGCTCCTCTCGGAGAGGATGCTGGCTGCAGCCCCGGAACCACCGCGCCTGCCTCCATCTGTGCATCCAGGTCTGCCCTGCTTGGCCTCGTGCAAAGGAGGGCCTGGAATGAGCAGAGCCAAAGGCGTTCTTGGTGCCAGCCACGCCCAGCTCTGGCTCCCGTGCTGTCCTTCCTGGTTTTCATCCTTGTTTACTTTTCTCTGTTTGCAGCCCTGTTGCTGCCTCACAGCCTCTCCTCAAGGGCGCAGTTTGCCATCTCACCTTTCATCCAGTTCCTGTCCCTTCCTTGGGGCCCTGGGCCACCCGAGTGTGACGTGTAGGGCCGTAGGAGAGCTGTTGGTTTTGCCAGGTCTCCGCTGGGGCAGTGCCTTTGAGAAGGGCAGCGCTGTGGAAGCCTGCGCAGGGCCGGGCCACGTCGGAAGCACAGTTGTGCGTGGGTTGGTGAGGAGGGAGGAGAAGTTCTGCGTGGAATAGCTCCGTTCATAACTCTAGGACTTTGTTTTTCAGCTTTTGAAATGACATTAACAGAAGGAAGTAAGTTAGAGAAGAAACTCTTCTACTCAACCTTTGCCACCGTGAGTAAACAGCGTGCAACTGGAGAATCTAGCACATTTCAGTCACACAAGTTGCTGGGAATTTCCTTTTACATCTTATCATTAAGTGTCGTTTCTTTCTGGACTGCCAGCCTCACCTTTAGCGGGATCAAATTTGTTCTCTCAGTGGGTCTTGATGTTAGAAAAAAAGTAGAACATGTGGAAGTTCAAAAGTATGAAATCTTACAGGCGCTTTTCTTGTCTTTCCTGTTATGTGAGGTCTAGGAATTGCACCCTCAAGCAGCAGCTCCTTTTTTTTTTTTTTTTTGACAGGGAGTCTCACTCTGTCCCCCAGGCTAGAGTGCAGTGGCTGGATCTCAGCTCACTGCAAGCTCCGCCTCCCGCCTCAGCCTCGAGTAGCTGGGACTACAGGAGCTCGCCACCTCGCCCGGCTAGTTTTTTGTATTTTTTAGTAGAGACGGGGTTTCACCGACTTAGTCAGTATGGTCTCGATCTCCTGACCTCGTGATCCGCCCGCCTCGGCCTCCCAAAGTGCTGGGATTACAGGCGTGAGCCACTGCGCCCGGCCTGGCTACTTTATTTAAAATGCGGTTTCAGCTGGGTGTCATGCATCCATAGTCCCAGCTTTCTGGGAGGCTGAGGCGGGTTGTTCGAGTCCAACTGGTCAACAAAGCAAGACCCCGTCTCAAAAAAAAGACTTTTTTAAAAAATGAGGCCGGGCGCCTCATTTTAATTGTTCGGTAAAATTAAAAGTGGTTTGGGCACTTAAGGAAGGGGTACAGATGCGTGCGCGCCTGGGGACGCTTGCACACAACTTGAGAAAAGCAGATGCAGAATTGAGTTCTCATGTCCTGCTCCAACACAGGGTAGCCCCTGATACAGGTCAGCCATCGTCCACTTTTTGACTTGGTGAGTGACCCATACAGGTGCATCTGAGGCTCTTTAGATGTGAGCTTGTTTGACATACACAAGCTCCTGAATGACCATCACCTAAACTGGTAGAGAGAGGCAGTGAAAATCCCCGCGCCCAGGTCCAGCTCTGCTTGGGCGGGTGTCCCTGCCACTGAGTCCCCTGCCTGGACCCCTGGGCCCCTGTGAGCATGAGGAGTGTGGCAGGACCAGGGAGACACGGGCGGACAGTGGCATCAGGCTCTGTGAGGAGACTGCGCGTCCAGCTCTGTTTCTGCCCCTTTTCCTACCAGGATGACCGGAAAGAAGGGATGACTGCGTTTGTGGAAAAGAGAAAGGCCAACTTCAAAGACCAGTGAGACCCAGCCGCCCCTCCCTCACACCTTTGCTTGGAGAGAGCAAGTGCAGCCTGCTGTCAGTTTTAGAAGCAAGTAAATCATCCTCTTTTCGAGAGCAGCGTCCGTGGTGCGCAGTTTCTCTCTGACTGCTGCGTGGTCACGGCCCGAGCTCTCACGGCATGACTGCCTTCTTTACCCAGCCTGTGAGGGTCCGTGTTCACATCCTGATTGGAGCACCTTCTTCTCAATGTTAAGATTCTGCTGAGGAGCCCCTGCTGGTCCCTCTGGGCATGTTGTGCTTGGGCGGAAAGCAGGGCCTGCGGGTCCTTGTGTCCCTGCCACTGGAGAGTGGGGCTGCTCTGAGGGAAACACTGCTGCCTTCACACAGATGCTCTGCTGATTAAAGTGACAGCGATTCAGGTGACACCACGCCTCGTAGGTCATGTCTGGAATGAGTATTCTGTCATGTTAGTTTGTTTTTTTTTTTTTTTAACTTTTTTGTTTTTTCACTGTAAGGAACAACATTCAAAGAAAAAAGGTTTGTATAGTAAGTCACCCCACATCATACTTCCTGGGTATCCACTGTGAACAGCTGGGCTCGTGGCTTCCTAGAGACTTCTGTGCGCACACACACATCCCCGCACACGTGCACAGGCATGGACTGTGGTTTTCTTCCATGCCCACTTACGTAGAGCCCTTTCCTCACGAGAGCCCACCTTGTTTCCTTTGTACTTCTGTCATAAGGAGCTCTCTGTTCAGTTTCACTGCTTTCTTCTCTGTTGTGGTAACACACGACGTAAACTTGACCATCTTAACCATTGTTTTTTAGAGACGAGGCTAGAGTGCCGTGGTCAGTCACAGCTCACTGCAGCCTGAATCTCCTGGGCTCAAGTGATCCTCCCTGCTCCCAAGTAGCTGGGGCCACAGGCCTGCACTACCACACCCAGCTAACTTTTAAAATCTATCTTTTGTAGAGATGGGGTCTCCCTGTGTTGCCCAGGCTGGTCTGAACCATTTTAAGTCCACATTTCAGCGGCATTAAGTACATTCTCCTTGTGCAACCATTACTGTCTATCCAAGAAAGCTTTCATTTTCCCAAACGCAAACTGTCCCCATTAAACAATAACCCCTTTTCTGCTTCCCTCCAGCTCCTGGCACCCATGCTTCTGCCTCCTGTCTCTGTGGAGGGACCTCCATTTGTCCCTTTGGGTCAGGCTCGTTTCAGCCCCACGCCAGATCCCTGGGTTGAAATCCTAACCCCTACTGTGACTGCTTTAGGAGGGAGGACTTTGGGCAGTGACTAGTCATGAGGGCAGAGCTCCTCCAGTGGGATGAGTGCCCTGTGAGGGGGCGGAGCTCCTCCAGTGGGATGAGTGCCCTGTGAGGGGGCAGAGATCCTCCAGTGGGATGAGTGCCCTGTGAGGGGGCGGAGCTCCTCCAGTGGGATGAGTGCCCTGTGAGGGGGCGGAGCTCCTCCAGTGGGATGAGTGCCCTGTGAGGGGGCGGAGCTCCTCGAGTGGGATGAGTGCCCTGTGAGGGGGCAGAGCTCCTCCAGTGGGATTAGTGCCCTATGAGGAGGCAGAGCTCCTCCAATGGGATTAGTGCCCTATGAGGAGGCAGAGCTCCTCCAATGGGATTAGTGCCCTATGGGGAGGCAGAGCTCCTCCAGTGGGATTAGTGCCCTATGAGGGGGCGGAGCTCCTGGAGCGGGATTAGTGCCATATGAGGGGGCAGAGCTCCTTGAGCAGGATTAGTGCCTTATGAGGGGGCGGAGCGCCTCGAGTGGGATTAGTGCCATATGAGGGGGCGGAGCTCCTCGAGTGAAATTAGTGGTCTATGAGGGGGCAGAGCCCCTCCAGTGGGATTAGTGTTCTATGAGGGGGTGGAGCTCCTCGAGTGGGATTAGTGCCCTATGAGGGGATGGAGCTCCTCGAGTGGGATTAGTGCCCTATGAGGGGGTGGAGCTCCTCCAGTGAAATTAGTGCCCTATGAGGGGGCAGAGCCTCTCCAGTAGAATTAGTGCCTTATGAGAGGGTGGTGGTCTTCCAGTGGGGTTATTGCCCTTAGGAGAGCCCCGAGGGCACTCTTTTGCCCCTCCCGCCATGTGAGTGCTCTGTGGGAAGGTGCTGTCTGTGAACCATGGGCCTCATCACACACAACCTGCCTGGAGCCGTGGCCTCCAGAACTGTGGAAAGTCAGTGTTTATCAGCCACCCAGACCATGCCACTGCATCACAGCAGCCCAAGCTAAGGCACATACTGTCCAGAAGGTTTGTGCCTGTTGTGGCATGTTTCACCATTTGATTTTTTTCACTGAATGACGATCCTATAACATGCTTTTTAGTGGCCCTGATGTTTCATACTGTGGACGTGTCATCGTGCCCATGGTTCTAGATATTTCCCCCAGGGAAGCCCACCTGCCCCCTAGCTCAGTGCAGACTCTAGAGAGCGTTCACAGGTGTCTCCTCCACTTGGCCCCGCAGCTTGGTGTGGGTAGTGGCCTAGATTGTGGTCATGGCCTTGGGCTGGGTGGGCAGAGTGTGTGAGGCCCCACCCCTGAGTTCTTGGGCTGAATACCAAGGACAGATTCACCTGCATCAAGAAGTACAAAGACCTTTGCTGAGCTCTGGCTCCCTGAATGCGGCAGGTGCCACGCCCGTGTGTCCGATTACATTTATACGCAAAATGGGCACACGCGTGCTCTGCGACCGCTCGCCTTGCAAGCATTGGCTCTGCACTTCCACCCACCCCGTCTGTCCTCCTGTGTGCCATGATTGGAGTCCACTAGTTCAGAGCTGGCTTTAGGGTGGAGCAGGTTTATCTCGCCTCTGCCAGGGCAGGTGGGAGTTCTCATGCAGTTTACCTTCAAACAGGCAGATGTTCTTTTCAGATAAGCCTTGGGATCTGAGGCTGTTTGACAAATACTGAAATAGGTACAAAAGGAGTTTGATTCAGGTCCAACGGGGCAGAACAGGCTCTTCCCTCGGGGCAGGGAACCTGGAACCTGCTCACTTACTGGAGTGGAGCACATGGAGGTTCGTGCAGGTCATGAACCACTGGCCCTGGAACCTGGAGTAAACACGCAGGGATAGATAGGCACCAAATGTTCAAGTATCCAAGGGAGGAAGCCTGAACATTGGGAAAATCCACTCCGTTTAATTTTTCATGTGCACTGGGGTCAGCCTCCATAATTTGATTTCAAGCAATGGAACCCCAGAGATCTGGAGGGCCGGTTACAGCCTCATGTTCACACCTGTGTCAGCCACGCTTGGCTGGAAGCCGTGTCTCAGAGGTCTGCGTCTTAGTTATCTGGTTCCAGAGTTTGGCAGGGACAGGCGCCCAACTCGTAGGCTCGGGAATGGACCTCGTCTTCATGCTGGCCCCAGGGAGCCTGGAGCAGGGGTGCCACTGTCCCACGCAGGGGAGCCCCAGACACAGAGTGAGGCTTCCACTCCTGAGCTAGTTGACCTCTGGCCCCAATATTGTTTGGGGTTTGATTAGGTGTTTTTTGTTTGTTTGTTTTGGGTTTTTTTGAGACAGAGTCTCTCTCTGACACCCGGGCTGGAGAGCAGAGGAGTGATCTCAGCTCACTGCACCCTCCACCCTCCGGGTTCAAGCAATTCTCATGCCTCAGCCTCCCAAGTAGCTGGGATTACAGGCGCCGGTCACCACACCCGGATAATTTTTGTATATTTTGAAGAGACGGGGTTTCACCATATTGGCCAGGCTGGTCTCCAACCCCTGACCTCAGGTGATCCACCCCACCTCAGCCTCCCAAAGTGCTGGGATTACAGGTGTTGAGTCACCGTGCCCGGCCTGATTTGGTTTTGAAGCTGAAAACTTTCTTGCCCATCTCTCTAAAATCGGCTTGCCCTTGTATATTTGGGTAAATGGTGACTCTCCACTTATAGGTTGGAGTAGAAACTGCCCAGGGACAGCTCCGAACCCTGGTGGCCTCGGTGCAAAGCCGCCCTCATCGGCAGGCCCTGGGTAGCCCCAGTCTTCTCTCTGCCCGAGCGGCCAGCCCAGGGCCAGCTGTTCAGGTGCTGCTGGGTGCCAGCCTGGGTGGCCCCACCAGGCGTTTCTGACGCAGCCCAGGCCACTTCCCGTGGGGACAGGCTCCTAGGACGAAGCAGTTCAACATGGAGACGTCTGTGTCCTCTGGGTTTTCTGAGGCGGCTTTGTCATTTTTCACATACAGATTGATTTTCAGAACTTTTTAGGAGCCACCAGGCCTCGGAGCATTTGTGTCACCTCAGGGCTGAGAGCCAGGGCCACAGAGCTGGCCCCACAGCTAGCGTCCAGCTGGGAATCAGGTGGAAGAAGATGGCTCCGTGGAGGGAGGGCCCGGCCAGCCTGAGCCCAGCCAAAGGTCAGGACGCCGCCATCCTGGGAAGGGGGTTGCAGGCCGCTGACACCGGGGGATGACGGAGGACCCTTAGGTGTCCTGGCACTCGCGGCTGAGCCAGGAAGGTGGGCCTGGCTGCCCTCCTGGACCCCCTCCAGGGGGTCTAATGTCCCAGCTCCCGTGTCCCGTGCTCCCGCCCCTCGGGAGCGTGGGCTGAAGGCCTGGGTCCAGCTGCCTGCCCTGGTGACCCCAGGGACCCGGTGCGCTCCGGCCATTCTGCCAGGCCTAAGGGCAGCACGACGTGGTCAGAGGGCAGAGACCCTCATGAGGGGAGGCCGCAGAGGGCGGCAGTTGAACCCCTTCTGCCTGAGGGAGCTCGAGGTGGGAAGCTCGGGTAGGGACACTGGGGAGCCCCGGCCACAGCGCGCGGGCGCCCAAATCTCGGACCTGGCGAGGCGCCCGTGGGTTGGGTGGGTGTTGCCCCCACGCCCCGACTCAGCCCGAGTGTCCCCAGTTCCCGGGGCTCCCCGCCCTTCCAAGAGCCGTAAGCGGACCCCAGCCCCGAACCCCAGCCCCAGCGGATCCCCAAGCCCCGAGCCCCAAGCCCGGGACCCAAAAGCCTCGTCCTCCCCACAAACCCCGCCCCCCGTGTAAAGCCCCGCCCCGGCCCGTAAACCCCGCCCTCCCCGCAAGGCCCCGCCCCGCCCCAGGCCCCGCCCGCCCCGTCCGCCAGGCCATGGTGGCGCTGAAGGGTGTCCCCGCGCTGCTGTCCCCCGAGCTGCTCTACGCGCTGGCGCGCATGGGGCACGGGGACGAGATCGGTGAGCGCAGCGGGCCGGGGCCGCGGGGACCAAGCCGGGGCAGGCAGGCGGGCGAGGCTTGCGCGGGGACCCCCGAGCCGAGAAGGGCCGGGTCCTGGGGTGGGGGCGTCGCTCGGGCCTCCCTGGCTTCCCCCGCGTTCTTTAGGGAACCGCGACCGCGTGGGGCTCTGGGCGGGGCCGGCCGGAGCTTCTCCCCGAGTCCCTCCCCAGACGGCCCGAGAGCCGCCGCGTCTGGGCTGCGCCCGAGGGTTCGGCGCTTTTTCTTCTCCTGGGGCCTGGGGTCCCGGGGCAGGGGCTGGGTGGCCGGGGGCCTGGTCCGGGCATCGCGGGCGGCTGCGCGTCCTCTGGCCCCTGGGGAGGCGGCCGGGTCCGGGTCGGCCCCCTGGCCTGGGCAGCACCCGACAGCCTGGCGGGCAGCTGTTGACGCCTCTCCGCCTCCCAGGCGGGGACCTTGCCCTCCCCGCCTCCCCGCCTGGCTTCCAGCCCTGCAGACTGACTGCGGCCGGCGGTGGGGGCGCCCAACCGGCTGACCTGAGACCCCCTGTGGCCACGATCTGCCGCCGTGACTGGGTGGGAGGATGGGCGGCGCCGACCCCGAGGGCAGGGATAGGTGCTGACCACGCGCGGTCCTCCCGGCTGTTTAGTTCTTGCGGACTTGAACTTCCCGGCCTCCTCCATCTGCCAGTGTGGGCCCCTGGAGATCCGTGCAGACGGTGAGCGAGCCCCAGGTCCCCCAGGGCAGGGCGGGTGGGTGAGCAGTGCTCCTGGCTCTGAGGCTCCTCTGTGGCCTGTGGTGGCCCCAAGTCCATGCTTGCAGTGTGGAGGGTGCAGGCGGGCAGGCGGGCTGGAGACTGAGTGCCGCCCCCTCTGCCCTCCAGGCCTGGGCATCCCGCCGCTCCTGGAGGCCCTGCTGAAGCTGCTCCCCCTGGACACCTATGTGGAGAGTCCGGTGAGGGTTGAGTCGCCCCTGCACCCTGCTGCTCTGCGCCTCGGTTTCCCCTTTTGCGGGCTTCATAGGGCCCACCTGCCTTGGAGTGGGGGGGAGAAGCCATGTGTCCCCAAGGGTCCCTGATCCTCACCAGGGGAGTCCTGAATGGTCACCTGACCAGGAAGGCTGGCAGCACCCAGGGCCCCAGAGCTGACCCCTCCCTCTAGGCTGCAGTCATGGAGCTGGTGCCCAGCGACAAGGAGAGGGGCCTGCAGACCCCGGTGTGGACAGAGTACGAGTCCATTCTACACAGGGCCGGCTGCACGGTGAGCCTGCAGCCCCAATTGTGGGGAAAGGGCCAGGGACCCCCTGTCTCCTGGAGGCTCAGTGGGAGCCAAAGACAGGGTCCCAAGCTCTGTCCTCAAGCGGTCTCCCACCCATCACCCTGAGAACCCCGGACCACTGGGCGCTCCCTCACCAGCCGGGTGGAAGAGGTGCACATGGGCAGTGTGGGCCCTCTTCCTCTGCCCCCGAGCTTTCCACCTGCCCCCCAACTCCGCCCAGGATCCTGACCTGCCGGGGCGAGGTGGGAGGGGTCCTCACCCACCACAGCCTGTGAGTGAAGCCTGGAGGACGCAGGATGCCTGGCCTCCACCTCCTCAGTCTCCCCTGGGGGAGTACCCCCTGGTCCTAGGTCTCTCGCCCCCTCCTGGCTATGGTTGGTCAGAGGGCTAGCCCCCTCCTCACCTTGCCCTGCAAGGAGACAGGCCCATTCTCCCGGGCAACCCACTGGCAGGTCTCGGGCAGGGCCTCCATAAGGGGAGGCCAGGGTCTCTCGTCCTGGGCAGGGGACCCCCTAGGACAGCTGGCAGGGGCTTGACAGTCTGCTGAGCTGGCTGGGTGGTCCCAGGCCAGGCAGAAACCAAGCATGGCAGGTTCCTCATCCACAATGTCCTGGGGCCCCCGTCCTAGGCCTCGGGAGCCAGAGGCTGAGTGACCCTGGGGCCCCTGCAGAGGGAGAGCCCAAGAAATGGAACTGAGGGGTCCCATTTCCTGGTGCCCTCCCTACTTGGGGCCCTGGGGAGTCCAGGGCTGGCCCATGAGGGTTTCTGGACAGGGTTTCCTCCAACCCTGCCATTTTGTCTTCCAGAGAGCCCTGGCAAAGTTAGAGAGGTTTGAGTTTTATGAGCGGGCTAAGAAGGCTTTTGCTGTTGTGGCAACGGGGTGAGTTCCAGCTGACTCAGACCTGTCCCCATCCCCACCGGGCCCTCAGGAGCTGCCCCCGTCCCCACCGGGGCCTCAGGAGCTGCCCCTACCCTCTTCTCAGCTTCTGCCTGGCTGAGGCTAGATGTCCCACAGAGTGGAGAGACCAGGGAGGAATTTGGGGGGCAGGGCCCCCATTTGCCTGAACATCAAGTGGGTGAAGGTGGACGGGGTCTGCTCCGTCCCCCAGAGGCTGGAGAAAGGTCTCAGCACCCTGGCCCTGCAGCCCAGCTCAGTGCTGGGCTTGGCTCCTCTGCAGGGAGACAGCCCTCTACGGAAACCTCATCCTCAAGAAGGGGGTGCTTGCCCTCAGCCCCCTGCTGTAGGCCTGGTGAAGACCACCTGGGCCGGAAGAGGAATTGGGGGCACCCTGAGCTCCGGTACCACCACTCACAACAGGCCTCCCAGCAGCAGCCCCAGACCTGGGCCCTGGCCAGGGCTCTAGGGGGCCAGCAGTCATGGGGTGGGCCCTGCCAATTGGTACAAATGTCCCTGATTTGTGAAAATGATGAAAAAACGTAGTCGCCGGTAAACGTTCAGTCTAAAGGTTTTAATTCTGTTGTCACTCAGGCTTGTTTGGTGCTGAGCTCAAAGGAGGCTGCTGGCTCCAGAGAGGGCCCCCCATGTACCCTTGACAAAACCTTGAGTGGGAAATCAGGCCTGGGGCCCTGGGGGCTGGGTGGGTGCCTGGGGCCCTGGGGGCTGGGCGGGTGCCTGGGGCCCTGGGGGCACCAAGGGCTGGAGTGGGGGCAGTGGCTGCCCTGGAGGCCTTGAGAGGGGTGAAGGCTTCTGCCACAGCCTCTGGGCTGCAGACACTAAGGGGATTCTTCACCCAGGTCCATTCTTTCCGCCCAGCAGGAGGGCAGGTGGCAGGGGCTGGCGTGGACACTTCTGGAGGAACTGTGGGAGCTCTGTTGAGGGAGGTGCCGGCTGGAGAGGCCTGGGTGTGGGCCATGCCCTGTGCTTGTGGCAGTAGGTGGCTGCCTGCTGGAAGCCTCACTTGCCCTGGCAGGCAGGGGAGGTAAAGGACACGAGGTCATTTGGAGCCCAGTGCCGGGCAGAGGTGGGATGCAGGGGGCTCCTGAAAGGGGGCGCCTGGGAGGCTTCCCTATGGGATGCTTGGACTGGTCTCCAAGGATGGGGAAGAATCACCACCCGCTACTTTCCAGACCCTGGGCCTCTCTCCAGGACCCTCCCCCTGCTCCCCAGAACTTGCCTCAGTGACACAGGTACAGGAGGAAGATGGGGCAGGGCTGGAGTTTGAGGGTCCAAGGGCAGGAGCAGGGATGACAGGGGCTCCCCCAGGGCCAGGGGCTGGTGTCCCCGGGATTCCAGGGGGCAAGTCCCAGGGTCCCAGACCCACACTCTGGACCACAGGAGAACTTTGGGAGTGCAGGCAAGCCCCCCCCAGCTGAGATCTGGCTCCAAGTCTGGGGAAGGGATCCTGTCTGGGCTTGCTGTAGGCTCTGGGGACCTGTCCGCCTGCTGCCCCCAGATGGCAGCCAAGGCCTTCTCCGTGCTCACTAGCGGTCAGCCTTGGCCCCATGGGCCTTGTGCTTGCCTGGCCAGTCACTGCCCGTCTCCAGACCCCATGGCCACGTTGTGGTCTGACATCAGAAGTGTGCGAGCTGATTGCACACACCCTCGCCCATCCCGTTTCAGCCCCGCAGATGGGCCTCTGGGGCTAGGGTGCCCTCTCTAGCATTTTATGTAAATGAAACCATATATGAGCAAACTAATGAAATCATGAGAAAAAACAAAGTAATGGGCAAAACAAAATAAAGTCAAGATAGCTTTAAAAAGAAAAAAAAAAAAGCCACAAACACCAGCTTGGGCTGTCTAGGGCCAGACCCTCCTGCGACCCCAGAGATCCAGGGTCTTCTCCCTGCCTGGGGCCCTGGGAGCGGGGAAGGAGCTGCCCAGACCTCCGTCCTGAGCATGTTGATCCCTCAATGCCCTCCCACCCCATGTTCTTATCAGGATGACAGGGGAAGCTGCCAAGAGGGAGACGGGGAGCCCAGCTCTGGCCCTTTCAGGACAGAACCTCAAAGGTCACTGGCCTCTCCAGCTCATCCGTAAGCCAGGGTAACAGCTCTTACACTGTGGGACGCCATGGGGCACCCTTGGGCAGTTACTCTCAGCCGTTTGTGTCCTGGGAGAGCAGGGGACTTGCCGGCGGTGCAGGGAGCTCTTCCGCACCTGGGCAAACCCTCGGCCCCCTGAGTGGCCGCACAAGGGCTGAGCATGACAGGATGGAGGGATGGGTGGCCTCTCTCCCTTGCTCTGTTGTGTCTTAGCTGCTGGAGCTGGCAAATGTGTGTGGCTCAGCCCCAGGCTTGGCACCGGGTGCTCCTCTCTCACCATAGGGATGAGATCGCCACGCAGGAACCCCACCCATATTTGCACGTGCCCAGGACACGTGGCGTGTGAGTGACTGCAGCAGCCTGGACCTGCGCTGCAGCATTGGGCTTGCTGGGCCAGGCAGGGCAGGATGGGCACCCAGAGTGGGAGCTGCACAGAACGTCAGGAGGGCAGAAAGACCACGTCCTGGGCCTGCCCCCCTCACCTGAGACCTGTGCACCTTCCACCTGAGCACATGCCCGTCCGTCCAGCTGGGCCCTGAGCCCCAGGCACTCGGCCTCCCTCCTCCCCTGGCCCTGTCTCAGGCCCCTGCTGTGGGGAGCCCAGGGTGAGTTCTCTCCCGGCTGAGACTGGTCCCACGGGTGCCCTCTGGTCCCAGCCCCTAACTGCTGCCACACCCCTCAGCATCCCGGTATGCAGGGAGGGGGCCTGTGGGTAGTGCAACCTTCTGGGAGCCAGGGGTCACCTGGGCCTTGTGCAGCCCTTAATTCTCCTGGGCAGAGCAGGCTGGGCCCTGGTCACCGGTCTTCCAGGGCGTGTGGCCTCCTGCCTGTTTGCAGGGGTTTATTATTTATTATTTATTTTTTTGAGACGAAGTCTTGCTCTGTTGCCCAGCCTGGAGTGCAATGGCGCGATCTCAGCTCAGTGCAACCTCCACCTCCCAGATTCAAGCGATTCTCCTGACTCAGCCTCCCAAGTAGCTGGGATTACAGGCGCCTGGCACCATACCCGGCTAATTTTTGTATTTTTAGTAGAGACGGGATTTCACCGTGTTGCCCAGGCTGGTCTGGAGCTCCTGATTTCAGGTGATCCGCCCGCCTCAGCCTCCAAAAGTGCTGGGATTACAGGCGTGAGCCACCTCGCCCGGCCTGCTGGGGTTTATTTGCCTACCTCTGGCAGGGGGAGGGTAGGAAGGGTTCCAGTCCCAACAGCCTGGGCCGTGGGACAGGGAGGGGCAGTGGTGGCCCCTGGAGCCCTACTGGGGGTGGTAGATGTGGTCTTGGTCTTCCTCCGGTCCCCGGAGCACCTGGCGATTTGGCATCACCCACAACCGAGGCCCCTCCTCGCCCTGGTCCTCCTCGGGCGGAGGGTGGTGCAGGCTGTCATGGTCGGGCTCAGGACCCTGCTGGGGGCTTAGGACATGGCCCAGGATGTCCTCGGTCTCCACCGAGGCCTTAATGCCTAGGGACAAGCAGATGAAGGGATAGCCTCAGTTTCTCTCCCGAGACCCTTGGTCTGTCCAAGCCAACCCCACGAGCAGGCTTTGCTGCTGTGGCCTCGTGCCCACCTGGAAGGACGGGGCCCCTGCCCTGACCTGGTGACTTCTCAGCGGTCAAGAGCTTCGGCTTCGGGACAGGGAGCAGCCCCACCAGCTGGTCGTCCTTCTCTGGAGGCTCCACCACACGGGCACCCCAGGCCCTGCTGGCACAGTTCGGTCTTGTCCACACGCAGGTGGCGGAGGGGGACAGAACCCCCCGCAGGAGGGTGCCCACCATCCCGGGGCAGCCACTCCAGCCCCCACCACCAGCAGCCCCAGGACAAGCCCCTCTCTCAAGAGCCGCAGTGATGAGTGGCCCCCACAGTGCTCCCGGCCAGGCTTCCACACCACGTCCCTGGGCCACTGGGTGGGGGGCAGTGGTCAGAGCCTTGGTTGAGCAGCGTCCCAAAGACGTGGATGTGGGGAAACCTCAGGAGCCAAGACTGAGCCACCCTGGCTGCAGCCACCGGCCGTGGAGTACAAGCTGCCCTGGAGGCCGTGGGGAAGCTGAGCTGGGGGACGCCCGGGAGCCCCAAGCCCTCTGGCTGTACTCTCTTCTCCCTGCACGGGGCCTGTTGACAGATCCCCATGAGGCTGGAGTGCCGCCTCCTTCCGAAAGCTGCTGGACAGAGTTCCCCTCTGCATCCTTCTTGTGCACTCCAGGTTCAGGACGGGCCCAAAGATCCGGCCGTAGCTTCAGGGAATGGCGGGGGTGCGGATGGGCAGGTGGGGCTGGGGGGACTTACTTCTCTGCCTCCTGCTCTGAGGGCCGGTGTTTGACGTGGACCTTGATAGGGAGAGTCACAGGTGTGGGCTCAGCCACAGTCCACACGGATGGAGGACACCTAGGGAGAGGCTGCTCCGAGGCCCACCTGGGGCTGCAGGGGTGGGGACAGGGTCAGCTCGGCACAGCCCGAGCGTCTCTAGTGGGTGTACCACTCTCGGGTGTCGGGATTGCAAGCCGGGAGTGAGGCTGCTGGCCTGTGTGCAGATGACCAGCTGGCCTGGAATTCTGGCCGGGCCTGGGGCGGCACAGGACTGGGATGTAACCTGGCACGATATCCCCGACCTAGCACTCCCCACCCCAGCTGTCAGCGCACTGGCTGGTTTCTGAGGTGACTGGTTGGGGCTGTGTCTCCTCCCTGGCAGGTGCCTAGAGAAGGCGGTCAGCTGCTCCGAGCCCAGCTAACCTTAGTGGTCAGTTCTCTAAGCCCAGCCACCCTCAGTGGGGCAAAGGACAAACAGGAGAGCAAAGCAGGTGACCCCAGTGGAGGACCAGTGACCCTGGGGAAGACCAGTGATCTCAGCGGAGGACCAGTGACCCTGGGGAGGACCAGTGATCTCAGCGGAGGACCAGTGACCCCGGGGAGGATCAGTGATCTCAGCGGAGGACCAGTGACCCCGGGGAGGATCAGTGATCTCAGCGGAGGACCAGTGACCCCAGGGAGGACCAGTGATCTCAGCGGAGGACCAGTGACCCTGGGGAGGATCAGTGATCTCAGCGGAGGACCAGTGACCCTGGGGAGGACCAGTGATCTCAGCGGAGGACCAGTGAGCGGAGGACCAGTGACCCCAGGGGAGGACCAGTGACCCCGGGGAGGACCAGTGACCCTGGGGAGGATCAGTGACCCTGGGGAGGACCAGTGATCTCAGCGGAGGACCAGTGATCTCAGCGGAGGACCAGTGACCCCGGGGAGGACCAGTGACCCCAGTAGAGGACCAGTGACCCCAGGGGAGGACCAGTGACCCCGGGGAGGACCAGTGATCTCAGCGGAGGACCAGTGATCTCAGCGGAGGACCAGTGACCCCAGGGAGGACCAGTGATCTCAGCGGAGGACCAGTGATCTCAGGGGAGGACCAGTGACCCCGGGGAGGACCAGTGACCCCGGAGAGGGCCAGTGACCCCAGGGGAGGACCAGCACCGTGGGAGGCTGTGCCCATGTTCCTGCATCTCCAGTCAAGGAAGGCGTGGACCTCCTTCCTCCTGATCCATGCCAGGTGTGCAAGACTGAGTGGTCTTGACATGGGCCAGGGAACAGGGCACATCCCCAGGCATAGTCCCAGCCAAGGACACCACTGTCAGCACAGACAGCACAGCTGAGCTGCCGGCACATGGAGTCACCTCTGGCCTTCAGGGCCCAGGTGAGCATCAAGGGGTGTCATCCGGGCCCTCCTCCACCTGAGATCACGTGGGTTCATCTGGCCCCACCTCCTCCACCTGGGACCTCCTGGGTGTCCTGAGGCCTGCCCATCTGACCCCAGTGAAGGGAAGCCTGCCCCCTCCTCGTCCTCAGGTGCCCAGGCATCAAGAGTCATGAGCGCACCCGCGCCTCTCTCCTAGGCCAGCCTGGGGTTTGAAGACAGAAGAGGGGACCTTTGTCCACATCCCCTGCTGTGGGGGCAGAAGGTGACAACTGGAGTTGGTGGCCAGATGGGAGGGGCTCACACCTACCTTGGGTGCTGAGGCCGCACCTGCCTCCCACAGCAGCACAGCCACCAGGCTGGTGACCATGAGGACCCTGAGGGGGGCCAGAGAGGAAAGTGTGGGGTAGGGGAAGGGCCAAGACTGGCCATCAGTCCCGCCTCCCCTGAACTCCAGGCAGCACCCAATGGGCAGCTGGGAGGCCTGGGCTGGGTTCTTCCTTGGGAGGGCAAGTGGTTTTACTGGACTCTGCTCACATGGGCCAACACACAGGCACAGAGCGGGGAGAAGCCCCAGGCCCACCTGCCTCCAGCCCCGCTCAGGCCAGAGCCCACAGCCCCAGCCCCAGACCCTGCTCCCCACAGTCTGGGCGGACCCCACTGTGGCAGGCACTGGTGGTTGGCTCGGAAACTCCAGAGGTTCTGCCGCGCCTTTCTGCCGCCCTCCACGTGGGGACACGTGAACACACTTGCACACAGATTGGGGTATGGGAGGGTATGGCACAGCGGGGGCCCACAGCCCCACACCCACAGAGCCCTGAGGCTGCACACTGCTGCAGGCGGGCACCTGCTGTGTCCCAGAGCTGCGGGGCCACAGCTGGAGGGCTCAGGGGTGCATGGCAGCACTGTTAGGCAGGCAGGCAGGGTGTCAGGTCTGTTTGGACACGGGACGTGTGTGTTTGTGTATGTGGTGGGGGGTGTGCATATATGTTGTATGTGCACATGTGTTTTGTGGGTGTGGACTATGTGCATGGTGGGTGTGCGTGTATGCTGTGGGTGGTGTGTTTGGGTGTGTGTGCACCGTGTGCTTGAGTGTGCGTGGTGGATGTGTATGTTGTGCATGGTGTGGAGTGTGTGGGTTTGGGAGTCCATGTGTTGTGTGTATGTTATGTGTGTTGTGTGTGTGATGGATGCATATGTATGTTGTGTGTGGTGTGGAGTGTGTGGGCTTGGGTGTGTGTGTGTGCTGTGTGCGTGCGTGTGCCTGGTAGATATCCATGTATCTTCTGTGTGTTTGGGGGGTGTGTGTGGTGTGTGTGTAGTGGATGAATGTGTATGTTGTGTGTGGAGTGTGAGGGTTTGGGGATGTGTGCATGCGTGTGCTTGTGTGTGTATTGGATCGGTATGTTGTGTGTGGTGTGGAGCGTGAGGGTTTAGGGGTGTATGTGTGATGTGTGCATGCGTGTGTGCGTGTCTGTGTGTGTTGGATGCATATGTATGTTGTGTCTGGTGTGGAGCATGAGGGTTTGGGGTGGGCGTGTGCTGTGTGCATGTGTGTGTGTGTGTGCACGTGTGTGTGTGCGGGCATGTGTGTGTGCGGGCGTGTGTGTGTGCGGGCGTGTGTGTGTGCGTGCGTATGTGGTGTGGTGTAGAGTGAGGATTTGGGAGTGTGTGCGGGCGCGTGTGTGTGTGCGCGTGCGTGTGTGCACGTGTGGGTGGGCGTGTGTGGTGTGGTGTAGAGGGTTTGGGAGTGTGTGTGTGCGGGTGTGTGCGCGCGTCTGTGTGTGGGCGTGTGTGTGTGCACGTGTGTGTGTGTGTGCACGTGTGTGCGGGCGTGTGTGGTGTGGTGTAGAGTGAGGGTTTGGGAGTGTGTGTGTGCGGGTGTGTGTGTGTGCGGGCGTGTGTGGTGTGGTGCAGTCTTGTCTCTTCAGGCCCCTGCGGGGGAGGCTTCTGTCTGGGGAGGCTTCGGTCTCTCAGGGTGGGGTGGTCTTGGGGGTAGGGTGAGGCTCTGGGTCTGCACGGGGCTCAGCATGGCTGCAGTCAAGGGTGTCTGGGGCTGGGCACGGTGGTTCACACCCATAATCCCAGAACTTTGGGAGGCGGAGGTGGGCAGATCACCTGAGGTCAGGAGTTTGAAACCAGCCTGGCCAACATGGCAAAACTCCGTCTCTACTGAAAATATGAAACTGCCCGGGCGCGGTGGCTCACGCCTGTAATCCCAGCACTTGGGGAGGCTGAGGCAACAGACCACTTGAGGTTAGGCATTTGGAACCAGCCTGGCCAACATGGTGAAACCTCGTCTCTACTAAAAATACAAAAAAAAAAAAAAAATTAGCCAGGCGTGGTGGCAGGTGCCTGTAATCCTAGCTACTTGGGAGGCTGAGGCCAGAGAATTGCTTGAACCTGGGAGGTGGAGGTTGCAGTAAGCCAAGATCGAGCCACTGCACTCACTCCAGCCTGGGCGACAGAGCGAGACTGTCTCAAAAAAAAAAAAAAAAACACCAATTAGCTGGGGTGGTGGCACAAGCCTGTAATCTCAGCTACTTCTGCGGAGGCAGAAGAGTCAGTGTCTGGGACGCCCTACAGGCCTGGATTGCAGCTCCACAGGGACCTTTGCCCCTTCTCTGGGTGACTCAGCCACAATGGGAGGAGGTCAAAGGGCAGGGGGGATGCCCCAGACAGCCCCGGGGTCGGGGCCTGGCCTGGTCTGGTTCGGGGGCCCTGCTTCTCCTCAGGATCCCCAGCTGGTTCTTGATGCTGGGCAGGGGCTCTTGTCCGGGCATTGGACCCCACTCCCACTGCCGTGCTGCCTGGGCCACCCCTGGAGCCCACCTCCCCGACACACAGCCTGGGGGCCCAGAATTCAGGACACAGTAGCCCCTAGAACAATGGTTGGTGGTGACTGCCAAGCAGCCAGACTGTGGGACTCCGAGGGTCCCCTCTCCAGACAAATGGCTCTGGGCACCAAAGGGTCCCCACGCCACCCAGAGGCCACCTCTCTACAAGGGAGAAACACCAGGAGAGGAGGGGCAGGGAGAGCCCTGGCTTAGAGGAGTAGGAAGAGGAGGAGGGCACCTCCACAGGAGGGGGGACCCCCACAGAAGGAGGGGGAAGAGGGACACCCCCACAGAAGGAAGGCAGCCTCTGATTCCAGGATCCAGCAGGAACCCGGATGCTTCCCTGAGCTCCAAATCACAGCCACGCCCTGGCCCCAGCCCCCTTCCTGTTGGGCAGTCATAGGCCTGCTGGTTTCAGCCTGGCACCACCCCCTTCCTTGTTCTGGGTGATTCTCCACCAGGCCAGGGGAACCAAGGGGCAAGGCACTGTCTCATGCGTTTGGAGCCCCAGAGGAGGTGGAGCCTGGTGGCAGACCCCAGACCCTCAGAGGGCCCCTCCTTCTCCCTCCCACCTGCACACTCCCCTGAACCAGGTCCCTGAGCGCAGCACGGCCGGGCCCCCTCTGGCTAAGGGCCAGGCCTCCAGGTTTGGGTGGGGTGGGGATCAGGGCTCACGGATGGTGGGCATTACCTCCTCATGTCTGGGTCCCCGTCTCTGTGGAGAGAGTGCTCAGGGAGCTGCAGTGGCTGATCCCAGTATCTGGCACCCGGCCCAGCTCCTCCTGCCCAGGCCCAGGCTGCTTGGGGCTTTATTGCTGCCGCTTGGGGCGTGTCAGGACAGAGGTCGGAGTCAGGGATCCCATCCTGCGCAGCCCAAGTGACTGGCTCTGCAGCCGCCCAGCCCACTCGGGCCTGGATCTGAGTGGGGACACCCAGCTTCCCCCTCAGGGCCTGCCACACCTGACTGAGGAAGAAGTTTGCCTTTAAAAACCTGCTTGGTGGCCGGGCGCGGTGGCTCAGGCCTGTAATCCCAGCACTTTGGGAGGCTGAGGCAGGAGAATCGATTGAACCTGGGAGGTGGAGGTTGCAGTGAGCCAAGATGGCGCCACTGCAGTCCAGCCTGGGCAGCAAAGAGCGAAACTCCGTAAAAAAACAAAACAAAATAACAACAACAACAACAACCTGCTTGTCATGAAGGCTGAACCGAGCTCACAGCCAAGGCAACTTGGAGGGGTGTCGCAGGCAGCTGTCCCCATGGAGGGGTGTCATGGGCAGCTGTCCCCATGGGGGGGTGTCGTGGGTGGCTGTCCCCATGGAGGGGTGTCGTGGGCGGCTGTCCCCTCGGAGGGGTGTCGTGGGCGGCTGTCCCCATGGAGGGGTGTTGTGGGCGGCTGTCCCCACCTCGGCTGAAGTGCTTCCTTCCTCAGGTGGGCGTGACAAATCCCCCATCCAGCCCCACCCCACCTGCCTGTCACACCCGCCCCTGCCCACCACCTGCGGCAGCACTGTACCAGCTCAGCTCCACCATCACGGAACCCTCAGCCCCAACCCCACCACCTTCCCCACCCCTGCCAGGTGCTCCCACCAGTCCTTCCTTTCTGGTCACACCAGCCTGAGGAGTCTTACATGCTGTATGGCTGAGGTCTGCCGCTCCACGGGGCCCAGTGCCCTGATTGCCTTTTTTATGTTTTTATTTTTTTTTGAGACAGAGTCTCACTCCGTTGCCCAGGCTGGAGTGCGGTGGCGCAATCTCAGCTCACTGCAACCTCCGCCTCCTGGGTTCAAGTGATTCTCCTGCCTCAGCCTCCTGAGTAGCTGGGATTACAGACACGCGCCACCGCCACCGGCTAATTTTTGTGGGGTTTCACCATGTTGCCCAGGCTGGTCTCGAACTCCTGACCTAAGTAATCCACCCATTTCGGGCTCCCAAAGTGCTGGGATTATAGGCGTGAGCCACCACACCTGGCCCTGACCACTGTCCTTAGCCATCCCTGGCACACCCTGTGAAACAAAAAAGATTCCAATGTTCCCCAACCCCACCCGACTGATGGACCTCCCTAGGCCAAGGGCATTCCACCGTTAACCTACAAACTAGTTCAGGCCACTGTGGGAAGTGGGGGTCTGACAGGCCTCATTGTACCCTCTCCTCCTTTTGGAATTCAGGCAAAACGGACCAGCATTAACATTAAAACAGAGACCTTAAGACTGAAAGAACAGACTCTTTAAGTCTGACAAGAAATAGTCCCTTTTATGGATTCTATCTGCATAAACTTGGTCTCCACAACGCCTTGTCTTAACCCTGACTTTCCCTGCTATTGATTCTAGGTCTTTAGACAATAACTTAACTCTTTTGACCAATTGTCAATTGGAAAATTACTGAATCCACCAATGACCTGGACACCCCCCGCCTTTCCGGACCAAACCAATGTACATCTCCCGTGTACTGAGTGATGTCTCGTGTCCCAAACATGTATGAAACCAACTGCACTCCAACCCAAACCAGCTGCACCCCAGCCCCTCGGGCCGCAGGTGTTCTCAGGATCTCCTGGGACGGCGTCATGGGCCTTCCTTCACTCATATTTGGCTCGGAATCACTCTCCAAGTATTTTACAGGATTTTACTCTTTTCCTCGACAGCCCCCAGTGGGCAGCTACTGTTGGGGGCTCCGAGCCCGCCGGCTGCAGGGTATGGGTTCCTCCCAGAGCTTCATGTGCAGACACAAGCGGAGGCAGTGCTTCCAAGCGCGTGGAGTGAGGGCCCTCAAGAACGGCCAACTCCGGGCTTTCCAGCGCGACCCGCAGCGTCCGAGCTGTTGAGGAGTGGTCACCCGAAGAGGCAGCCGGGCTTGGGTGAGAACAGATGTTCCCGGGGGCTTCTTGCTGGGGCTGTTCCTGAAACCACCTTTGCAAAAGCTATGATGGTGAATCTGACCTAACCGACTCCATCTTCCTTCTGACCTTCAGGCTGTCCTTGTTCTTTCCTGGGTGCAGGTCACACAACTTTGGGAGGATCTTAGTTTATAGTTTAATGTTAAAACAAAGATGAAAACAGCCCTTTCCTGAACAAACTCCCTTCTTGCCTGGGGACCAGACTGCCTTTATAAAACTAACAAAGTAGCCACAAGATTAGAAATTATGGTTTAGGAAACTTCTAGTGGCTTGAGGTATCGGCGGGAGTGGCCAGGTGGCGGGAGGAACCGTTACGGGAACTGAAGTTGCCGATTAAGCCTGATCAAGATGCCAACCTCCCAAAAGCACTGAGACTTCAGGGCAGAGCCCATGGGGGAAAAGCCAGTGGGCAGCCTGGCCGGGATGGGTGAAGTCCTGGGCAAGAAGCTGGAGGAAAGGAGCTTTGACAAGGCCTATGTTGTCCTTGGCCAGTTTCTGGTGCTGAGGAAAGATGAAAACCTGTTCCGAGAGTGGCCGAAGGACTCGTGGTGCCAACGCCAAGCAGTCCCGGGACTTCGGATGCCTTCGAGAGCATGTGACGCCTTCTTGTGATGCTCTCCGGGAAGCTCCCGATCCCCAGCCCTCACGCAGAGTTTACAGCCGAGCAGGGACTCCTCCCCTGTCCTCTGCAAAGGAAAAGATTGCTACTGTCATACTCACCTCCAACGTACTCTGGGATCTTTTGGGAGTTTTCTCCCCTAACCATTTCAACTTTTTTGGATTCTCGTTCTTGCAGGACTCCCACTTCCTTTTTCCCTTGCCAGTTCCCTGGCGACAGTTACCAGCTTTCCCGAACGGACTCCTGGCCCCGTCCCTCGCCAGTTCCCTGGCGACAGTTACCAGCTTTCCCGAACGGACTCCTGGCCCCGTCCCTCACCCCACTCTCACTTTCAGTCCATTTGATACCATTTGGCTCTTTTTTGGCAGGACAGTCACTGTCCTTGTAAAGTTCTTTAGATCAAGAAAGTCAGTGGCTTTCATGAAAGAAAAAAAAGTAAAATAAAAAGGAAATTATGGTTTAGGAGTCAGGCAGCTGGAGGCCACGAGATTCTAAACCTCCCCAATTACTCTTAGGGAAAACGTCACTATTGTAAAACCTAAGATTGGTGCTCGAGACATTTTTCGGACTCTGAACTTGGTGGAACAGCTGGTGCCACCCAGATCCGTGAACCGGCTCATCTCGTCTTGTGGCCCCCACTTAGGAAGCACAAAAGGACAGACTCGGCTCCCTGTGATTTCATCTGCAACCCAACCCATCAGGACTCCCCACTTCCCAACCACTACCCACCAAATTCTCCTTTTAAATTTGAGTAGTAATAAAACTCCAGTCTCCCATTCAGCCGGCTCTGCGTGAATTAAACTTTCTGTGTTGCAATTTCTCTCTGTCTTGATAAATCAGCTGTCTCTGGGCAGCAGAAGGAGCCTGTTGGGCAGTTACACTCCCACCCACCCCCCACTGGCCGAGGGGCTCCACGGGGGGGGCAGCAGAAGGCCAGCGGCTCAGGGAACTGGGGTCCCCAAGGGGATTATGAGCAGTGATTGGCAGGCCAGTCACGGGGAGATCAGATCTGGAGTGAGAAAGTCACAGGGAACCTCCCTGGGTTCCCACATAGTCCCAGCCGACGGCACAACCTCTCCCCATCCCTCTGGCCCAACACAAGTCTGTGCATTCACACCGAGGAGCCAGGAGACACCTGGTGGGAAGTGAAGGCTGGGAGCCTTAAAAACTGCATCAACACAGAGCGTGCCCCCAGCCCCTCCTTGAGGCGCCAGCAGAGTGGGTCCTGCAGCCTGAGGTCTGTGCGCAAAGTCTCCAACTAAGGGAGGAGACCACCCCTCATATTGTCTTATGCCCAATTTCTGCCTCCAAAGAAAGAAGTAAAAACTAAAAGGTGGAAATGAAATCCACAGGCAGACAGCCCAGTGCTACGCCCTGGACCTGGTGGTTAAAGATCAACCCCTGACCTAACTGGTTATGTCATCTATAGATTCCAGACAGTGTATGGAAAAGCACTGTGAGAATCCCTGTCCTGTTCTGTTCCGTTCTGATTACTGGTGCTCGCAGCCCCCAGTCACATACCCACTGCTTGCTCCATTGATCACGACCCTCTCACGTGGACCCCCTTAGAGTTGTGAACCCTTAAAAGGGACAGGAACTGCTCACTCGAGAAGCTCCGTTGTTGGAGATGTGAGTCTTGCCGAAGCTCCTGGCCAAATAAACCCTCTCCTTCTTTAACTTGGTGTCTGAGGGGTTTTGTCTGCAGCTTGTCCTGCTACACAACCACACAGTCCGGTGTGATTCAAGGAAGACAGGCTTAAAAAAACTGGGTGGAGATACCGGGCCACATGCTACAGAGGAAACCATGTCCACTGATTTAAACAAAACAGCAACAACAACCCTTGGGAGAAAATATCAGAACTCAAAATGTTTGCAATATATTATCTAAAACGTCTAGTCTTTAGTAAAATGAGACAAGTCCCCAGGCTGGTCTCGAACTCCTGGGCTCAAGCAATCCTCCCACCTAGGCTTCCCAAAGTGCTGGGATCACAGGCATGGGTCACTATGCCTGGCCTGTTGTATATTTTAAATTAATAAAAAGCATAGAATTAGAATGTTAGCACAAAGACATGATATATTCTTGAGGTTATGGATACCCCAATTATCCTGATTTGATCATTACACGTGGCATCCATGTACCCCATGGATATATGCACCTATTATGTACCCATAATAATTAAAACTTTTTTAAAATTAAAAATAAAGGGCCAGGTGCAGTGGCTCACGCCTGGAATCCCAGCACTTTGGGAGGCCGAGGCGGGCAAATCACGAGGTCAGGAGATCGAGACCATCCTGGCTAACACAGTGAAACCCCATCTCTACTAAAAATACAAAAAATTAGCCGGGCGAGGTGGTGGCGCCTGTTGTCCCAGCTACCTGGGAGGTTGAGGCAGGAGAATGGCGGGAACCCGGGAGGCGGAGCTTTCAGTGAGCCAAGATTGCATCACTGCACTCTAGCCTGGGCCACAGAGCAAGACTCCGTCTCACAAAAAAAAAGCTGAGGGTGGTGGTGTGCGCCTATAGTCCCAGCTACTAGGGAGGCTGAGGCAGGAGAATCACTTGAATCCGGGAGGCAGAAGTTGCAGTGAGATGAGATTGTGCCACTGAACTCCAGCCTGGTTGACAGAGTGAGACTCCTTCTCAAAAAAAAAATAAAGAGAGAAAGAGAGAAGGAGAGAAAGAGAGAAGGAGAGAAAGAAAGAGAGAGAGAGAGAGAGAGAAAGAAAGAAAGAAAGAAAGAAAGACTTATACCCAGAATATAAAACAAACTCTTACAACTCAACGATAGAAAGACAAGCAACCCAACCGAAAAATATTCAAAACATTTGCACAGACATTTCACCATAGAAGATTTACAAATGGTGACTCCACCCCAAGAAGATGCTCAGCACCACTTGTCATTAGGGAGACGTGGACTCAAACCACAGCTACACTCCTATAGGACGGCGTCATGGGCTGTGTCTCCCTAAATCCATAAATTGACATCATTAGGGTGACACGGACTCAAGCCACAGCTACACTCCTATAGGACGGCGTTATGAGCTGTGTCCCCCCTAAATTCATACTGTGATGTCCTAACCCCTCAGAATGTGATGATGTTTGGAGGTGGGTTTTTAAAGATGTGAGTAAGGTAAAACGAGGTTATTAGGGTGGACCCTAATTCAACAGGACTGGTGTCCTTATGTGAAGAGATTAGGACACACAGATACGCCAAAGGGAAGACCATGTAAAGACACAGGGAGATGTGGCCACCCACAAACCCAGGGAGCGGCCTCAGGAGCTGCTGACAGCTCGATCTCAGACCTCAGCCTCCAGCGCTGAGAGAACATAAATTTCCGTTGTTGAAGCCGCCCAAGCTCTGGCAATTTGTTATGGCAGCCTGAGCTAAGACCGATGGCTAGCATAAGAAGACAAAACCAAGGACCAAGAGTTGGCTGCTGGGCACAGTGGCTCACACCTATCATCCCAGCACTTTGGGAGGCCAAGGTGGGTAGATCACGAGGTCAAGAGATTGAGACCAGCCTGGTCAACAAGGTGAAACCCTGTCTTTACTAAAAATACAAAAATTAGCCAGGCGTGGTGGCACGAGCCTAGAGTCTCAGCTACTTGGGTGCCTGAGGCAGGAGAATCATTTGAACCTGGGAGGGGAGGTTGCAATGAGCCAAGATTGCGCCACTGCACTCCAGCCTGGCGATACAGGGAGACTCTGTCTCAAAAATAATAATAATAATAATAATATCAAGAGTCGGTGAGGATGTGGAGAAACTGGAGCCCTCCTACACTGCAGGTGGGAATGTAATATGGTACGGCCACTTTGGAAAACACACTTTAGCATTTTCTTTAAAAGTTAAATGTCAACTTCCCATCAAATTTGGCAATTCCACTCTTCAGTATCTACCCAAAAGAAATAAAAGCACACATCCACCACGACTGGAACGAGAATGTTCATCACAACACTGTAAGCAGCTGACAAACTGGAAGGAGTTCATGCGGACGAATGGATGAAACCTGGATAATCCATGGGTTAACAGCAATAATGGCCAGGCGCAGTGGCTCACACCTGTAATCCTAGTACTTTGGGAGGCCAAGGGCAGTGGATCACCTGAGGTCAGGAGTTCAAGACCAGCCTGGCCAACATGGTGAAACCCCGCCTCTACTAAAAATACAAAAAATTAGCCGGGCGTGGTGGTGGCACCTGTAGTCCCAGCTACTCAGGAGGCTGAGGCAGGAGAATGGCGGGAACCCGGGAGGCGGAACTTGCAGTGAGCCAAGATCACGCCGCTGCACTCCAGCCTGGGCGACTGAGCGAGGCTCCGTCTCAAAACAAAAAAAAAATTCCTGGCCCTTTGAAGGGCTTACAACTCTAAGGGGTCCACGTGAAAGGGTCGTGATAGATCAAGCAAGCGTGGGCAACGTGACTGGGGGCTACATGCATCAGCTAACAGAACAGAAAGTGGTGCAATGCTTCCTCATACAATGTCTGGAATTTACAGATAACACAAGTAGTTTAAGTCAGGGATCGATGTTACTATTTTCCTTTAACTACCAGGGCTGGGTGGTGGCGCCAGGCTGTCTGGCTATTTATCTTACTGTTGTTTCTTTTTAACTTTCTGCTTTCTTTTTCTCCTGTCTTATAAACTAGGCAAGGAGTGGGGGGCAGCAGGAGAAGTAGTGGTCTCCTTCCTCAGGATGTATGTGTCAGATGTGTTTGTGAGGTGTGTTAGGTGTATGTGTGAGTGTCTGAGGTGTGAGGAGGGGTACGTGTGAGGTGTGTGTGGCGTGAGGTGTGTGTGTTCGGGTGTGTGTGGTGTTTCTGGGGTGTGTGTCTGGCATGTGTCAGATGTGTGGGGGTGTGTCTGGGGACATGTGTAAGGTGTGTATGTCCGGGGTGTGTTTCAGGTGTGTGTGAGATGTGTGATGTGTGTATGGTGTGTGTGAGGTGCATGTGTCTGAGGGGTGTGTGGAGTGTGTATGGGTGTGGTGTGTGTGAGTTGTATGTGAAGGGGGCCTGCCCCTCGTATTTCTCGTCAGGTGGAGACAAGAGACTGAGAAAAGAAATAAGACACAAAGTATAGAGAAAGAACAGTGGGCCCAGGGGACCGGCACTCAGCATACGGAGGGCCTGCACTGGCACTCGTCTCTGAGTTCCCTCAGTATTTATTGATTACTATTTTCACTATCTCAGCAAGGGGAGTGCAGCAGGAGAACAGGGTGATGGTGGGGAGAAGGTCAGCAGGAAAACATGTGAGCAAAGGAATCTGCGTCATAAATAAGTTCAAGGAAAGGTACCGTGCCCGGATGCGCACATGGGCTAGATTTATGCTTCTCTTTACCCAAACATCTCAGTGTAGCAAAGAGTAACAAAGCAGTATCACCGCCAGCATCTCAACTCCAGCCATAGGGCAGTTTTCTCCTGTCTCAGAATAAAATGAATGGTCAGCCTCACACCGAGACATTCCATTCCCAGGGCCATGCAGGAAACAGAGGCCTTCCTCTTATCTCAACCGCAAAGAGGCCTTCCTCTTCTACTAATCCTCCTCAGCACAAACCCTTTATAGGTATTGGGCTGGGGGACAGTAAGGTATTTCCCTGCCAACGAGGCCATATTTCAGGCTGTCTCAGTGAGGGGAAACCTTGGACAATATCCAGGCTTTCTTGAGCAGAGGTCCCTGTGGTTTTCCTCAGTGCATCGTGTTAATAGAGAATGGAGAATGGCAATGACTTTTACCAAGCACACTGCCTGCAAACATACTGTTAACAAGGCACATCCTGCACAGGCCTAAATCCCTTAAACCTTGATTCGATACAGCACATGTTTCTGTGAGCACAGGGCTGGGGCTGAAGTTACAGGTTAAGAGCATCTCAAAGCAGAACAATTTTTCTCAGTAGAAATAAAAATGGAGTTTCTTCTGTCTTCCTTTTCTCCATAGACACAGTAACAGTCTGATCTCTCTTCCTTTCCCCCACAGTATGTGTTTCTGGTGTCTACTGTCAGGTGTGTGGGTGTGTCCGGGGTGTGTATTGGTGCGTCTCATATGTGTGAAATGTATGTGTGAAGGGTGTGTGTGAGGTGTCAGGTGTGTGGGTGTGTCCGGGGTGTGTATTGGTGCGTCTCATATGTGTGAAATGTATGTGTGAAGGGTGTGTGTGAGGTGTCAGGTGTGTGGGTGTGTCTGGGTTGTGTGTGAGGTGTGTGTGTGTCGGGGTGTGTTTCAGGTGTGTGTGAGATGCATGTGTGATGTGCGTATGTCTGGTGTGTGTGTCTGGTGTGTCTAAGGGGTGTGTGTGTTGTGTGTTTGGGTGTGTGGTGTGTGTGAAACATGTGTGTTTCCTGTGTGACTGGTGTCAGGTGTGTGTTTGGGTATGTGAGGTGTGTGTCTGCGGTGTGTGAGGTGTGTGTGTTTGGGTGGGTCTGGTGTGTGTGAACTGTATGTGTCAAGGGCATGTGTGAGGTGTGAGTTGGGAGTGTGTTTCAGATGTGTGTGTAAGAGGTGTGTGTGATGTGTGTATGGTGTGTGTGTCTGGTGTGTCTGAGGGGTGTGTGGGGTGTGTGTGAAGTGTGTGTTTGGGTATGTCTGGTGTGTGAGGTGTGTATTTCTGGGGTGTGTGTCAGGTATGTGGAGTGTGGGTCAGGTGTGTGTATGTCAGGTGTGTGTTGTGTGGGTCAAGGGTGTGTGAGGTGAGTGTGTTTGGGTGTGTCTGGTGTGTGTTTCTGGGGTATGTGTCAGGTGGGCATCAGGTGTGTGTGGGGCATGTGTGGGTGTGTCATCTGTTTAAGGTGTGTGTTTCTGGGGTATCAAGTGTGTGTGTGGTATATGTGAGGTGTGTGTGTGGGTGTGTCTGGTGTGTGAGGTGTGTTTCTGGGGCATGTGTCAGGTGTGTGTGTGTGGGGTGTGTGTGAGGTGTGTGTCTGGGGTGTGTGTGACGTGTGTGTTTAGATGTATTTGGTGTTTGAGGGGTGTGTTTCTGGGGAGGGTGTCAGGTGTGTGTGGGGTGTATGTGTGACAGGTGTGTGTTTGGGTGCGTCTGGTGTGTGGGGTGTGTGTCAGGCGTGGATGTGTCGGGTGTGTGTGTGTGAAGTGTGTGTTTGGACGTGTCTGGTGTTTGAAGTGTGTTTCTGGGGGTGTCAGGTGTGTGTGTCAGGTGTGAGGTGTGTGGATGTCTGGTGTTTGACGCGTTTCTGCGGGGTGTCAGGTGTGTGTGTGTGAGAGGTGTGTGTTTGGATGTATCTGGTGTTTGAGGTGTGTTTCTGGGGTGTGTGTCAAATGTGTGGGGTATCAGGTGTGTGTCAGCTGTGTGTGAGGTGTCAGGTATGTGTTTCTGGGGGTGTGTGAGGTGTGTGTGTGTCAGGTGTGGGGTGTGTATCTGGGGTGTCAGGTGTGTGTGTCAGGTGTGTCTGGGGTGTGTGTCGGGTATGTGTGAGGTGTGTGTTTGAATGTCTGGTGTTTGAAGTGTGTGATTCTGGGGGTGTGTCAGGTGTGTGTCTGGGGTGTGTGTGCCTGGGGTGTGTGTTTGGATGTGTCTGGTGTTTGAGGTGTGTGTCAGGTGTGTGTCAGATGTGTCTGGTGTGTGGGGTGTCTGTGAGGTGTGTGGGATGCGTGTGAGGTGTGTGGGTGGATGTTTCTGGTGTTTGAGGTGTGGTTTCTGGGGGTGTGTCAGGTGTGTGTGTGAGGTGTGTGGTGAGGCCCGGGCAGGGTCCGAGGGGCGCATGCGCGGCTCCTTAGCAGGGGCGGTGGGGGCGGGTGGGGGGGTGCAGGGCCAGAGCTCAGGCCCCGCCTCCAGCCGCGTTTCCATGGCGACCGCAGCCTCGGTCTCGCTGCTGCAGCCCCCGCCCCACCCGGCTGCGAAGCGTCTGGAACCGCATCCTCCGCATCCACAGCCGCACCGTCGTCCTCCCCGACCGCGTCCTGCAGCAGCTGCCAGTGGAGCCGCCTGTGAGCTATTTCCACATTTCTCCTTGCAGAGTGGGGGCGGGGGGCCCGAGTGGGTGCGGGGGTGCGAGGCGCGTGTGCGGCAGTGTGCGAGGTGCGTGTGCTCGCAAGTGCGCTTGTGCGTGGCGCGCGTGCGGATGAGGGTGTGAGTGTGCGTGTGTGCGAGGCGCGTGTGCGGATGCGAGTGTGCAGGGCGCGCTGCACGGCCGGCCCCCTCCCGCGGGCCTCCTCTGGTTGTCCCAGGCCAGGCCGACCCCGCGGACCCGAGGCAGTGGTCTCCAGGCTTCCCGTGACGGCGGGGCCCCGGCACGAGGGTCGCAGCCTGCAGTTCAGGGTGTCTCCGAGGTGGGCAGGGGGTGCCAGTTCCAGCTCCTGCCCAGCTCTGTCTGCCGGGGGCGGGGTGGGGCGGGCGGCAGAAGGGGCGTCGGACCAGAGCACCGAGGAGCGGCTGCCCGCACGGTGGTGCGGGGTGGGGGGTGGTCTTGATGGGGGCATCTGCGTGACAGGCAGGAGGCGGCCAGAAGGCCGGGAGGGGCGCGGCTCCGGAACCACCTGCAACAGGCGCGGGTGCGGGGCCACAGGTGGCTGGAGTGGGAGTGGGAGTGGAAGCGGAAGCAGCTGCGCGCCCACTCCCCTCCGCGGGGCTGCGCCGACCCCGCAGTGCAGCTGCCTTTGAATCAGCCGGGCAGCCACGGCCGCCTGCAGCGCCAGGGGCAGGAGGCTGCGGTGGCGCCCGCGGGGGAGGGGCGGGACCCTCAGGGATCCGCAGTCACACGCTCTTGTGCCCCCCACATAAGCCCACCTGCGCGCACCCCCAGCGTGACGCAGCATTCCAGGTTGGGGGGCGCATGCGAAAGCGAGTCTGTGACGTGACCTCCAGCCGAGCTTCCGTGGACTTTCGACTGAGAGCCTGCACCCCCGCCCCCGCCATCCATCCGTCCATCCACACGGCCTCGCTCACCCGCGCCCCCACCCATCTGCCGTCAGCATCCCACGCCTCCCCTCGCCCCAGAGACAGGAGCCGGGCACTGCCTCCCTGCCAGAACGCGGCGGGTGGGGCGCAGGGGACCCGCAGAAGATGCCGCCACAGCGCAGGTGCAGGGAGGGGCCGGGAGGAGGAGCAGAGGCGGCCCCCTAGTTCCACGAGCCGCGTGCCTTCCGTGGGAGGAGGCCCCCATGACGCAGCAGTGCAAAGGGACGGTCTGGTGTGTGGGGTGGGAGGGTTGGACCCCACACACAGGCCAGTCCCCCGTTCCAACCCCGCATTCCGCATGGGGCGCTGGGCCTGGAACCAGAAGGGAGGCTCCAGTGGGCCCCCAACGGCTTTTTCTTCCTAAAGACGCTTCTCGGCCTGTCTCCGTTGCCATGCACACCCGCGATGACGTAAATTGGCCGTCCGAGGAGTTGGAGTCCAAGTTTGGCTCGAAGGGGACCCCAGAAGCGAAGCTCCTCCTGGCGGGGTCCTGACCCCTGGCGCCGGCCCCCCGGGGCGTGGCTCTGCCCTGTGGCGCTGCGGGCCGTGCCTGCGCCCCCTCTCCGCCCCCCTCCCGTCTGTACAGAGGCTGGGCTTGCTCTGGGAGTCCGCTCCGGGGAGACCCCGACCCCTCCTCCTCGGTGGTACCCCCACCCCCGCGGGCCAAGCTCCACCTCAAGCCCCGGCGCTCGCCGCCCTCGCCCCACGACCACGTCATTCCCCGGCCTCTTGGCCCTCGGCTGCTCCAACTCCGCTTCCATGGATCACTTCTGTATTTAAGCCCCGTAGGGCCTCGTCCGTCTCCACCTGCACACACACGGACGCTGGCTGCACCGCGAAACCTCGTCCGCCGAGTGCCCATTGCCCCTGCCTGGGCCACGTGGGGACCCACCTCAGGCAGAGTCTCCAGCCCAGGATGGGTGTTCGGGGGACCCTGCACGGCCTCTTCCGGAAAGGCCCGGCCGGGCACAGGGTTGCCTGTGATGAACGCCCAGCAACAAGGGGCACGGGTTAGGGCCCCAGAGCGCGTGGTCAGGTCCAGGACTGGGGACCCTGTCTCCGCTCACCCAGCTCCTTCCGGCTCAGAGTGGCCTCCCCCATCTCCTATCCAGCCCTCGCTTTCCAGCCTCACTCCCGCCCACGCAGATCCTTTCCCCCTCTGGTCGTTCCTTCTCAGTTCTTTCCACACGCAGAATCTGCCACCTCCAAATCCTTCCCCCTCTGATCCTTCCCCTTAAGATCCTTCCCCCTCAGGTCCTTCCCCCTCAGGTCCTTCCCCCCTCAGATCCTTCCCCCTCATGCCCTTCCCCCCCCCATGTCCTTTCCCCTCATGCCCTTCCCCCCCATGCCCTTCCTCTTCAGATCCTTCCCCTTCAGATCCTTCCCCCCTCATATCCTTCCCCCCATATCCTTCCCCCTCAGATCCTTTCTCCCTTCAGATCCTTCCCCCTCAGATCCTTTCCCCTCATGCCCTTCCCCGCCATGCCCTTCCCCTTCAGATCCTTCCCCCTCAGATCCTTTCCCTTCAGATCCTTCCCCCTCAGGTCCTTCCCCCCTCAGATCCCCTTCCCCTTCAGATCCTTCCCCCTCAGATCCTCCTTTCCCTTCAGATCCTTCCCCCTCAGGTCCTTCCCCCCAGATCCTTCCCCCTCAGGTCCTTCCCCCCTCAGATCCTTCCCCCTCAGGTCCTTCCCCCCTCAGATCCTTTCCCCTCATGCCCTTCCCCCCCATGCCCTTCCCCTTCAGATCCTTCCCCCCTCATATCCTTCCCCCCATATCCTTCCCCCTCAGATCCTTTCTCTCTTCAGATCTTTCCCCCTCAGATCCTTCCCCGTTCAGATCTTTCTGCCCACAGAGCCTTCCCGCCTCAGAGCCTTCCACTCTCACATCTTTCCCCCTCAGAGTCTTCTCCCTTCAGAACCTTCCCTCTCAGATACTTCCGCTCCCCGACCCTTCCCACCTGGGATCCTTCCCACTTGGATCCTTCTGCCAGGCTGATTCTTCCCGCTCAGATCCTTCCACCCTCGGATCCTTCCCCCTGCGTCGGATCCTTACCCCCTCGGGTCCCTTCCCCACCCCATTGGGGTCCCTCCCCTCTCAGATTCTTCCACCCTCGACTCCCTCCGCTCCACCCCACCCCCACTCGCGCAATCCTCCCCCGTTGGATCCCTCTGCCCTTGGATCCTTCCCCCCGTGCCCGCAATCCGTCATCCTTCCCCTTCTGATCCTTCCACCTTGCAATCATTCCACCCTCAGCTCCTTCCACCCTTAGATTCTCCTCCACGCAGATGCCTCCACATTATCTCTACTTGAGTGGCAGCAGCTGGGCAGAAGCTCTGCGACCACGGGTCCCCTGCTCCTGTTCCCCTGGCGCCTTCCCACACCTGGAACCCGCAGCGGAGCCTGGCCACTGCAGGGCGAGAAAGAGTGGTCACTGCTGGCTCTGGCAGTTAACTGGACATCCTAGCGCTGCTGTCACAAATTACAAGCGGGTGGCTTAAAATAAATTCTTTCACAGTTCTGAAGTCAAGAAGTCCAAAATGAAGGTGTTCGCGGGGCCATGCTCCCTCCAAAGCCTCTAGGGGAGCTGCTTCTTCGCTTCCTCCAGCTTCTGGTGGCCCAAGCAATCCTTGGGTTTCAGCTGCATCATTCCAGTCTCTGCTCCGTCTGCACATAGCAGTCTCCTACATCTAATTTCCCTGTAATAAAGATACCAGTTTTGGATCAAGGCCCACCCTGATTCAGGACGAATTTATTTTAGCTTGATTACATCTGCAAAGACCATATTTTCAAATGAGGTCCCATTCAAAGGCACCCCTCACACAGATCCTAGGACTTGGATGTATTTTTGAGGGAACATCATTCAACCCACAATGTACCCTCCTCATTTGTGGGTTGCAACTGTCTTCTCCCAGTATTGGTTTTTCCTACCATTTTTTGAAGGCTGTTTTGATAAGCAGAAGTTCATAGTTTTAATGAAGTCATTTTATCAATATTTCCTTTTGTTGTTAGTACCTATTGTCCTAATGAAAAAATTTTTCCCTCCCTGAGATCAGAAAAATCTTCTCCTGTATTATCTTTGAGGTGCTTTATTGTTTTGCTTTTCCAGTTCAGGTTTATCCACCTGGAGTAGACTTCTCTGTGTAATGTGAGGTAGGGATCAGGTTCACTGCTTTTGATGCAGACAGAGGTTTACTGAGAGGCAGCTACGCTGCAAATCAGGGTCCGTGTATGCAAAGTGTATCATGTGGGACTTCTTCCACCACACAGTAGCCCCACACCACTCCATTTCCAATGCTGTGCAACAAGCCAGACCCTGGCAGATGAGACCTCCTCCATGTTTTTTTGTTTTTGTTTTTGTTTTTTTGGGTTTTTTTTTTTTTAATGGAGTTTTGCTCTTGTTGCCCAGGCTGGAGTGCAGTGGCACAATCTCGGTTCACTGCAACCTCTGCCTGCCAGGTTCAAGTGATTCTCCTGCCTCAGCCTCCCGAGTAGCTGGGATTATAGGCGTGTGCCACCACGCCTGGCTAATTTTTGTATTTTTAGTCAAGACAGGGTTTCACTATGTTGGCCAGGTTGGTCTCAAACTCCTGATCTTGTGATCCACCCACCTCTGCCTCCCAAAATGCTGGGATTACAGGCGTGAGCCACTATGCCCGGCAGTCCATGTTATTTTCCAAGATACTTGGTGTGTTCCTGCCCCTCTGCCTTCCATGTAAAATGACAGTGCTTGTCAAGTTCATTTAAAAAACTGTTGGGATTTTGATTAAGATTTACTGCATCTACAGATCGGGGGATGGGTAATTTGTTTAAACATGGAAACTCCCCAAATCCATAGACACAGCCTTCCCCATTTATTGGGGGATTTAGCTTTTCTTGGTCTCTGTTGACAATGTTCCCTGGTTTCCATGTGGAGGCCCTGCCCTGTCCCTGTTCCTCAGCTCTTTTTACACCTATTCCTGAGGATTTGATAGTTTTGATATTATTTAAATGGAGTACTTCAATAAATTATGTATTTATTTATTTTTGCCACTGACATATAGGAATGTAACTGATTTCTGAATACCTTAAATCCAACAGCCTTGCCAAACTCACTTTTTGATCCTTATGATTTGTCTATAGATTCTTCTGGGGTTTCTAAACACAAAGTGTTTCATGGGTGAATAATCAGAGTATTATTTATTCTTGCCTGGCACTAGAGCTCATTTCTTTGTCCTACCCTACAGCATTGGCTGAGACCTCTAGCGCCATAACTTGTAGAACCGCAGATCAAGGTGCTTTCAGGATTCACATTCAGTGAGGTTTGCTGTGGGGATTTTGTGGTTCACTGTTACTGGGTTACAGCACTCGCCTCCTGCCTTAGTGTGCTAATGGGTCCGAGGAATAGTAAATGAGCCCTGAGTCTTACTCAGAGTTACTTCTACTCCTCTAGCAATTGATCAGATACGCTTTTTCGTTGTTCTGTTAATACGGTGAAAAATACGATTGCTTGCCAAATGTTAAGCCAAACTTCATTTCCAGAATACACCCAACCTGTCATATGTTACCTTGTTGTATTCGCTGGACTCACCCTGCTTGAGCTTTGGGGCTTCGCAGTGGTGTGTGCGTGTGGAGGAGGCTGGCCTGTGAGCTCCTCTCCGATGCTGTCCTTGCTGGGTTAGGGGACTGAGGTTAGTTGGCCTCAGGAGCTGGTGAGTGCTCCCTTGTCTTTCTGGAAGAGTTTTGTGGACGTTTGCATTACTTTCCCTGTAAATGGTTGGTAGAATGCTGTGGTGATGCTGTGTGCGCTTGGAGTTCTTTGTGAGAAGGTTGCAATGGCAGATTCTTTCTTCTTTTTTTTTTTTTTTTTTTTTGAGGCGGAGTCTCATTCTGTCACTCACGTTGGAGTGCAGTGGCGCGATCTCGGCTCATTGCAACCTCTGCCTCCCGGGTTCAGGCGATTCTCCCGCCTCAGCCTCCCGAGTAGCTGGGACCCCAGGTGCCACCATCGCACCGGGCCACAGGTTCCGTTTCTACTGCACACAGGACCTTTCTTTTTTTCCTTTGATTGATTGAATACATTTTGTTTTTCTGCTTTTTCCATTGATCAGCTCGGAGGTCATCCGCTGCATTCTTTTTCTCTAGGAGGTCGGCCTGAAGGCGAAGCCGAGCACCCTCGGCCTCTCCGGGGTTGGTGGGGCCCCGCTGTGGCGTTCAGCTCCGCAGGGGCCCCGCTCTCCGCGGCCTTCAGCGCCGGGCTCGCAGCTGGGCTGACTCGCGGGTGCCCTCTTGTGGCCGCTCTGTCTCACTTCCTGCGTCTCCGGCAGAGTCGCCGGACAGAACGAGGACTGACCTCAGGATAAGCACGTCCCATGCCGCTTATTGCGAGGGATGCTCTTATATTAAAAATGGGCTCGTTGCTTATCTGAAATTCAAATTTAGCTGGGTCTCCAGCATTTTTATGTGCTGAGTCTGGCACCCAACTCTCCAGACTGATGTCCAGGATTGTCGGCTTTAAGAGGTTGTCTAGAGTCAGGCGCGGTGGCTCATTCCTGTAATCCCAGCACTGTGGGAGGCTGAGGCAAGCAGATCACTTGAGACCAGCCTGGGCAATCTGGCGAAACCCTGTCTCTACAAAACATGTAAAAATTAGCCAGGCGTGGTGGGTTGCACCTGTGGTCCCAGGTACTCGGGAGGCTGAGATGGCAGGATTGCTTAAGCCCAGTAGGCAGAGGCTGCAGTGAGCCAAGATCACACCACTGCACTCCCACCTGGGCCACAAAACAAGATCCTATCTCAAAAAAAAAAGAAAAAAGAAGAAGAAGAAGGAAAAAGAGGAGATTGTCTTGTCTAGAGCAGCCGCTGGTGGAAGACTCCCCCGGCTTCATGGACAGTCACTGGTTGGGGTGCTTTCCCCTGCAGTGCTGTGGGGTCCAGAGGGGCCATAGGGGTCAAGAAGGTACAGTACCCAGCATCTGGCTGGATTTGACCGGTTTGCCCAAGGAGGCTGGCCTGACCACTTACAGCCTGTCCCTGGTTCTGGTGTGAGGAGCATTATGACCAGCTCAGGGTCCTCTGGCTTTAGAGCCAGCTGGCGTGGGTGTCCAGGGGGGCAGCCTGTGGGCAGTAACCCTGTCTGTCTCTGGACAGGACAAGCACTGCCATCCACCATGGTGAAGCTGGGCTGCAGCTTCTCTGGGAAGCCAGGTAAAGACCCTGGGGACCAGGATGGGGCTGCCATGGACAGTGTGCCTCTGATCAGCCCCTTGGACGTCAGCCAGCTCCAGCCGCCGCTCCCTGACCAGGTGAGGGCCTGGGCCAGCGTGGAGTCCCTTCTCAGGCTCCCCTGGGAACAAAGGGGTGTGGGGTGAGGTTTGTCTAGATGTGGCCTCTTCCCAGGTGCAGTAGAGCAAGCAGAAGAAGGACCGTGGGGACCAAAACCCCAGTTGGCCATGGGCACTCTATGTGACCTCCTGGTCAGCTCCCCCATATGCCAGAGCTGGGCAAACTGGCCGACGGGTAACCAAGAATTCACGCACTGACTCCTAGACAGCAGCCCGCCCACCTGCTGTCCATAGGGCACCCAGCAGGCAACGCTTCCCACCCTTCCCTCGGGGCATGGCCCTGTCCTGGGTTGAGCCTGAGATATGGAGGTCCTTGGGCAAGTGACCACTGGGGGTGCTTATAGCAGAAACTGGGGAGAAGCAAAGAGCTCAGTTCTAGCCCAGCCCAGTTTGACCCCCTAGGGAGTTGTGCAGCATGAAAGGCACCCTGAGTTGTCCCTGCTGGAGGTGGGGGCAGCATCTATGCTGGGGACCCGGGACAGGAGGACCACCCCTGCTGGCCAAGGGCAATTCTCCAGCACCCTGAATTGAAGGCAGCAGGCAAAGCGAGGGGCTCCGTCAGCAACCAGGCCAAGCCCAGGGCTGCCATGCGCCCAGCAGACTTTCAGTGTCCACCTTCCCTTGGCCTAACTTTGTGGCTGCTGGAGCCCTGCCATCCACCAGACGGTCCTGGGAGATGGTCAGGGTCAACACCACTGCCACGAAGCTGACCCTGGCTCCCTCCCCTCTCAGTTCAGGGCTCTCTTGGGTCCCTCCCAGCTGCCCACTGAGGCCATGGCCATCTCTTTTCACAGGTGGTCATCAAGACGCAGACAGAATACCAGCTGTCCTCCTCAGACCAGCAGAAGAAGTTCCCTGACCTGGAGGGCCAGAGGCTGAACTGCAGCCACCCAGAGGAAGGACGCAGGGTAACCACACTCACCTCACCCACTGTGGGGACTCAGGGCAGGGGGAGAAGGTGGAAGGCAGCTGGGGGTGCCTGGGCTCAGGCCAGGCCGGGCTGGAGTCCCCTTGCTGTCTGGGAGGAGAGGGTGGCGGTGAGTCATCCCACCCAGAGCTGGCCTCCAACTGCCCTGCAGTCATCAGGCCCCCTGGTGAGGCTGCAGGTGCGGACTGACCAAATGGTGGCGCTCCTGAGATGTTTCTCTTCCTGGGAAGCGCTGGCCAGTGCTGCTTGCCTGTTTGCCCAGAGGGTCATTGTCTCATCTTCAGTGACTTACGGGCTTTCTATGTAATACTTTCTTTCTGCAGTATATCTGGCAAATATCTTCTCTCATACTCTTGTTTAAATCTCTCAACGTTATTAAGATAGCTTTAGTCATTTTTAGTGGACTGTTTCCAAAGCCTTCCATTCTCCAGTAGTAAGATCTGCTAGGGCTCCCCGCCCCTGGCTTCACGTTCCAGTCTGCAGCTCATGTTACAGCACCCACTGTGGGAAGTCCCCTGGGAGGCCTGGTGAGTGCAGCCTCCGACTCACCTGAGGCTGTGGCCCCATCCCCTGTGGAGCCCACAGCAAAGGAAAGCTGCAAATTCCCGCAAGACCCACCTGGGTCAAAGGCCACATCACTTTACCTGGTGGCAGATGTCTCCAGAACCCCAGTGGAGGGGCCGCCAGCAAGGCCTGGCCCCCAGGGGTGATGCCTGCACACTTGACCCTCGGAAAAGTGGGAAAAGCCACTGGCTGCCCAGGGCGGGGGTGGGGTATCAAGACTGGAGGGCGGGGATGGTCCTGTGCCAGCACCAGCCCCTGAGGAGCTCCCCACAAAGGCGACCCCTGCCTGGCGTGGCTGAGCCCCTCTCTGCCCTCCTGCCAGCTGCCCACCGCGCGGATGATCGCCTTCGCCATGGCGCTGCTGGGCTGCGTGCTGATCATGTACAAGGCCATCTGGTACGATCAGTTCACCTGCCCGGACGGCTTCCTGCTGCGGGTAAGGGGGCCAGGGCTCTGGTGGGGGGCGGTGGAGCCGGGCCTCCTCCCATAGCCTCCAGGCAGGGGGTGGCAGGGGTGCCTGCTGCTGCTGGGGGAAAGTGGTCTCCAAAGCCATGTTCCCGTTACTTCTCTAGAACATGAAAGTCTGTCTTTTGAAAATTTAAAAGAAAAGATGTGTTAGTGATGGGTTTCTCTTCTTGTAATTTAAAAAATAAGTAAAAGATGAGGCAGAAAAGGTCGCCCTCCAGCCGTCTCTCTAGGGGTCATCTGTCCTCCTGAGTGACTTGTGTGATGTTTTATTTTTATATAACATGATATTAATGCTTCCTACATACTTGGCAAATAATTTCTTCCATCCTTTTTTTTTAAATCTCTTTGCCAATAATAGTTACAGCATTTAGTGTGTTTTTAGAAAGCCTTTTATTCATCAGAAGTAAAATCTGCTCTTTTTCTCCTTAACTCCATGGTTTATGCTCTGGAGCGCGCTCGCAGAGGCCTTGCTGGGCTGAGCAGGTCCACTGGTGTCTGCGCCCCTCTCCCTGGGTGGCCCCCTCCCCTTACAATCCGCGACCTCCTGGCTCCGTGCCCCGCCCAGGGCCCTGAGTTCTAAACCGGAGGCTGACCTTCGGTGTCCTGAAACCATGGCTCCGTTACAAACTGTCCGCAGTGCCCCCAACCGCAGAAGCGGGAGGGCCCGGGCCCGGGGCGCACAGGAGGGCTCAGCCCGCCGGCCCTGACCCGGCCCCTCCCGCAGCACAAGATCTGCACGCCGCTGACCCTGGAGATGTACTACACGGAGATGGACCCCGAGCGCCACCGCAGCATCCTGGCGGCCATCGGGGCCTACCCGCTGAGCCGCAAGCACGGCACGGAGACGCCGGCGGCCTGGGGGGACGGCTACCGCGCCGCCAAGGAGGAGCGCAAGGGGCCCACCCAGGCTGGGGCGGCGGCGGCCACCGAATCCCCCGGGAAGCCGTCGGCCAAGGCGGAGAAGGAGGCGGCGCGGAAGGCGGCCGGGAGCGCGGCGCCCCCGCCCGTGCAGTGATGGTCTCCGGCCCCGCAGCCCGGTCCGGGGTAGGTGCGCGCCGCGGGGCCCCACCGGCTCTGCCCCGGTCTCTTCCTGGCCTCCCGCACCGCTTCTGAGCCAGAGACCCCGGCCACCCCCGTCTTCCTCTTCCCTCCGACCCGGCCCGCCAGAACGTCGGGAGGCGGGTGTGAATCCGAGCCCGCCGTGGGGCGCGGTGTCCGTGGGGAGCCCCCGGCCGCGTCGCCGCTCTCAACCCTCGGGCTCTGTCTCCGCAGCGTCCCCCGCCAGCTCCTGTGACCAGCGCGTCGCCCGATGCTCTCCGCCGTGTTCGTGTCTCGCCCCCAGGCGCCCTCGCTGCAGCCCTGCCCCCGTGGGTCTCTGACTCTGTCGCTTTTCTCTAAGTAAAGATTTCACGTTCACCGGAGTCTTCCGTCTCTCCTGCGCGTCCTCTGCCCGGCTGGCCTTTCTCCCGCCCCCCACCCCGCCAGCCGTGAGTGAGGCCGGCATTGTGCTCCCCCCAGGGACCCCCGAAGGACCCAGGAGAGATTCCGTGGGGGCAGCTCCCGGGAAGCCGTGGCGCGCCCAGGCGGAGCACGAGCATCCTCGCGCTGGGTGGTCCCGGCCTTGTCCAAGCCCCACCGGGATATGCCTTAATGGCGGGGCTCCGGCCCACCCAGGGGAGCCTCGGGTCCATCCCTAACCGCTGCCCAGCCCCTTGTCCTGCTGGTTCCACCCCCACCATCTACCTGGTGCTGGGCCTGGGTCCCGGGCATCCCCCCTCTGACAGGAGTGTCTGCCTCCCCGCTGACCCCTGGTTCTGGGCGGCACCCATGAGCAGCTTCTGCCTCCTAGATGTGCGGCCCACAGGCATAAATGACCAAGTGAAGAAAGAAGTGAATGGGGGCGTCTGAGTGGGGAGTGGCGCCTGAGAAGGGGTGAGCTCTGGCTCCTGGGGTCTGGGTTCTCCCGTGTCCCTGGAGCCAGATGAAAGATGGTAAGGCTGAAGGGCCAGGGGAGCCTAGAGCTGCTGTGAGTCCCCGCGCCCCCAGCATCCCCACCTCAGCTCCAGCCCACTCCCGGCACTGAACACTACAGGGAATGGACTCTGGCAGATCTCACCCACCGCCTGCACCACCCCAACCAGCTGCAGCTCTGCAGCGCCGCCCACCCAAACACCTGTCCTCCTCGGATCCCTTTCACGTGGGGCCCAGACGCCCCACCTGGTGGGAGGGGAGTTCGGGCCTTGGGACTAAGGGCTTGCCGCTGAGAGACAGCAACAGAGCCTAGACGGTCCCGCCAGCCACTGGAAGCAGCTTCAAGCAGGAGGGGCCGGCATTTCCTGCACTGCGTGGTGGAGGGTGGGGGCCTCACACACAGGTGGGATCCCCTTGGGAAGCCCCGCCTTGATCTCAGCATGGAGCCCAGTGACTTGGAGAACAGCCCAGAGCAGCCTCTACTGCATCAAGGGAGCTGCCAGAGCCAGCGCCAGTGGATCTAACCTGTTCCTGGGCACTGGGCTAGGGGACTGGATGGTCACTGGAGTCCTGGTTGTGAACACAGGGCTGGATGCTCAGACCAAGAGTGGATGGAAGACCCCCACCATTGGCTCCCAGGCCTGCTGGCAAGGTGGGGGTCTAGGCAGCTTCCCAGGTCCGTGGGACTGGCCTGCTTTGGAACAGTGGGCAGTGCCCAGGAAGCCTGTGAACTGGGCCTGCCAGGGAAGCCGTGGTGAACTGGAGGCCAGCCAGGTGGGGTCAGGGAAGGCAGGGCCGTGCACACCACACCCTTCACTGCTGGGCTTCTAAGGGCATTGAACAGGCACACGCAGAACTGAGTTGGCCCTAATGGCCTGCAAGGGAGGAGGGTGGGGGACCTGGGACCTCAGCTGGGATATATGAGGGCAGGGAGTCTCTGCATGGCTGATGTTTGAATTAAAATACAGCTTTTCCCCTATATTTTACTATTTTTATTTTTATTTTATTTCATTTTATTTTTTGAGACAGAATCTTGCTCTGTCACCCAGGCTGGAGTGCAGTGGCGCGATCTCCGTTCACTGCAAGCTCCGCCTCCTGGGTTCACGCCATTCTCCTGCCTCAGCCTCCCGAGTAGCTGGAATTACAGCCGCCCGCCACCACGCCTGGCTAATTTTTTTGTATTTTTAGTAGAGATGGGGTTTCACTGTGTTAGCCAGGATGGTCTTGAACTCCTGGCTTCGTGATCCGCCCACCTCGGCCTCCCAAAGTGCTGGGATTACAGGCTTGAGCCATTGCACCTGGCCATGCCAGACTCTTTATAACAATCAGTTCTCAGCTAGACGCAAGCAATGGCTCACGCCTGTAATCCCAGCACTGTGGGAGGCCGAGGTGGGCGGATCACTGTAGGATCCAGCCCTATGGGGCTTAGCAGGTGTTCTCCCCGCGTGTGGAGATGAGAGATTGTAAGAAATAAAGACATAAGACAAAGAGATAAAGAGAAAGAGCTGGGCCTGGGGGATCACTACCACCAAGACGTGGAGACTGGTAGTGGCCCTGAACAGCTGGGCGCGCTGATATTTATTGCATACAAGACAAAGGGGCAGGGTAAGGAGGGTGGATCTTCTAAATGATTGACAAGGTGAAACAAGTCACGTGATCACAGGACACAGGGCCCTTCCCTCTTAGGTAGCCGAAGTAGAGAGGGAGGGCAGCATATGTCAGCGTTTTCTTCTCTGCACTTAATAGGAAAGATCAGACTTTAAGACTTTTACTATTTCTTCTACCTCTGTCTTCTACGAACTTCAAAGAGGAACCAGGAGTACGGGAGGAGCATGAAAGTGGACAAGGAGCGTGACCGTTGAAGCACAGCACCACAGGGAGGGGTTTAGGCTGCCAGATGACTGCGGGCAGGCCTGGATAATATCCAGCCTTCCACAAGAAGCTGCTGGAGCAGAGTGTTCCCCGACTCCTCCAAGGAAAGGAGACTCCCTTTCACGGTCTGCTAAGTAACGGGTGCCTTCCCAGACACTGGCGTTACCACTTGACCAAGGAGTCCTCAAGCGGCCCTTATGCGGGCGTGACAGAAGGCTCACCTCTTGTCTTCTTCGTCACTTCTCACAGTGTCCCTTCAGCACCTGACCCTATGCCCACTGGTTATTCCTAGGTTATATTAGTAATACAACAAAGAGTAATATTAAAAGCTAATGTTTATACTAATGATTGATAATGTCCACGATCATCTCTATATCTAATTTGTATTATAACTATTCTTATTCTAACTACTTCCTTTATTATACTGAAACAGTTTGTGTCTTCAGTCTCTTGCCTCGGCACCTGGGTAATCCTTTACCCACAGATCACAAGGTCAGTAGATCGAGACCATCCTGGCTAACACAGTGAAACCCCCTTTCTACTAAAAAAAAAAAAAAAAAAAATTATCTGGTGTGGTGGCGGGCGCCTATAGTCCCAGCTACTTAGGAGGCTGAGGCAGGAGAATGGCATGAACCTGGGAGGCAGAGCTTGCTGTGGTTCACACCTGTAATCCCAGCACTTTGGTTGGCCAAGGTGGGTGGATCACAAGGTCAGGTGATCAAGATCATCCTGACTAGCACGGTGAAACGCGGTTGAGAGATGAAGCCAGCTGGATTTCCTGGGTCAAGTGGGTACTTGGAGAACTTTTCTGTCTTACAAGAGGATTATAAAATGCACCAATTAGCACTCTGTAGCTAGCTAGAGGTTTGTAAAATGCACAAATCAGTGCTCTGTAAAAACGCACCAATCAGCGCTCTGTAGCTAGCTAGAGGTTTGTAAAATGCACCAATCAGTGCACTGTAAAAACACACCAATCAGCACTCTGTAGCTAGCTAGAGGTTTGTAAAATGGACCAATCAGCACTCTGTAAAATGGATCAATCAGCAGGACATGGGCAGGGACAAAGAAGGGAATAAAAGCTGGCCACCACCCCCCATATCCCCCAGCCAGCAGGGGCAACCTGTTCGGGTCCCCTGCCACAATGTGGAAGCTTTGTTCTTTGACACTTCACAATAGATCTTGCTGCTATATATGCTTTGGGTCTGTGCCACCTTTAAGAGCTGTAACACTCACTGCGAAGGTCTACAGCTTCATTCTTGAAGTCAGCGAGACTTGGCCGGGCGCGGTGGCTCAAGCCTGTAATCCCAGCACTTTGGGAGGCCGAGACGGGCGGATCACGAGGTCAGGAGATCAAGACCATCCTGGCTAACACGGTGAAACCCCATCTCTACTAAAAAATACAAAAAACTAGCCAGGCGAAGTGGCGAGCGCCTGTAGTCCCAGCTACTCGGGAGGCTGAGGCAGGAGAATGGCGGGAACCCGGGAGGCGGAGCTTGCAGTGAGCTGAGATCCGGCCACTGCACTCCAGCCAGGGCGACAGAGCCAGACTCAGTCAAAAAAAAAAAAAAAAAAAAAAAGAAGTCAGCGAGACCACAAACCCACCAGAAGGAACCAACTCCAGACACACTACACACCGTCTCTACTAAAAATACAAAAAATTATCTGCGCGTTGTGCTGGGCGCCTGTAGTCCCAGCTACTCAGGAGGCTGAGGCAGGAGAATAGTGTGAACCTGGGAGGTGGAGCTTGCAGTGAGCCAAGATTGCACCGCTCACTCCAACCTGGGCAACAGAGCAAGACTCAAAAGAAAAAAAAAATTCCTCACAGTAAGTAATCAAGCAAGAACTCACTCATTACCTTGAGAGTGGCACCAACCCATTCATATCTGCCCCATGACCCAAACACCTCCCATCCAGGCCCCACCTTGAACACTGGGGGTCAAATGTTAACATCCAAACTCCAGCATCTGGCATTCCACCCCATCCGCTCTATCACACTCCACCACCTCGTCTCTCTACCTACCAGCCTATCAATTATCTGCCACCTATTGTCTATGGCCTATTATCTATCATCGATCACCTATTGTCTATCACCTATTATCCTCTATCGTCTATCACCTACCGTCTATTACCTATCATCTATCAATAATCTGTCATCTCTTTAGCTGCTACCTACCTAACATTTTTTCTGAGCCAATGAGTGAATGGGGCATCTGAGTGGGGAGTGGGGAGTGGGGTCTGAGGAGGGGTAAGATCTGCCCCAGGGACGGGCATCTCCCATTCCCTTGGAGCCAGATGGGAGCTGAGAAGGGCCCAGGGGCTCCTGGAGCTGCCGTAAGTCCCACCCTCCCCACCCGGCCTGGCAACTCCTTGCACTCAGAGGAAGTGACCTCTTTATCCTTAAATACTTCAGTGTGGATTCCCCGCAAACAAGGGCGTTTTCTTACGTAAGCTTCATGCAATGATCGAAATCAGGAATTTAGGTTTCCAGATCCACACAACCCACATGAGAGCCAACAGGGTGGGGGTGGAGAGGCTCCTGGCTTCCCTGTGTGCGAGCATGGATGCACGTACAG